GTTATTATAATAGGCAGAGATAAGACAGGTCTGAATAGACAAACAATTGCATGTGCACTGCAAAAGGTAAGTTACAAAGATTATATAATATGGTGACTTCTTCAACATTTTTTGTAAAAATAAGGCCATATTTGCTAAATCATAACTTTTCACGAGTGAGGTTTAAAGATTGTACGAAGAACTACATTCATAAACTGTATTTATTTATTTGCCACACTCCTTTTTGTATACATAAGAATCATATTTTCAAAGGCAGCTTGTAAAAATTGTGTAAAACTAATTTCGTAAATAGGTTAAGGATGACATAATAGAAGTGAGGTGGGTAAACTATTTCTCCACTCTGGTAAGTAAACTTAGATAACTGAGATTTTATATTTTCAAATAGCTTCAATAGAAAACCAGTTTAGTTAATGATTACCGTACTATATATGTATATGTAAACAAAAAACTCTTTAGACTCATATGTTTTTGAACATTGAGGAAGCAATGAAAAAGTTATTTAGCAAACCAATGTAACATGCGACGACGAAAAACCGCTGGAATACAAAGTCAACAATGACCTGATCTTTAACTTCTTTGGACATCTTTTTTTAGCCGGACAAACGTCCTGTTTTTTTTAGCATAGTATTTAGCCGGGTACTCATTAGCGAGCAGTAACTCTAACGTGACAGATACAGTAACGAAGTTCTAGTGTGTACACATCTTAGAATAATAACGCATAGAAACCTAGCCTAGCCCGCACACGCTAAGTGAGGCAAATTGAAGCGCTCCCAAAGGGCCTACACGAGCGGGCGGGCCTTCAGTGCTCAAGGTCAACTTGCACCGCGAGCAACTCCAGAATTTCAGCTAAAAATGACGAAATGTGCGGTAAATGAGTGTAAAAATACGTCAGACAAACATAAAACAGGTACTAACATCACATTCCACAAGGAAGTAACGCGTTTCAACTTGTATTTTTATATAAATATTCACTAAAACCGAAAATTAACCTACTACTCAAACTAGCCTACATGAATTTGATTTTTGCCTCACTTGTGACAGTTCGTTTGATATGAAACTATCATTCTATGCGTTATTAATTATAAGGTACACATGAAACCAAAGTCTTCACTTGCTAGAATGAGTACCTGGTTATCGTCGGTTCACTGCGAACAGCACGCGTTCCGCTCGCGGCAAGCTCGCGAAGCACGTGCACACCATAGTTTTTGGCATTATAACATGGAACGATTACGACTACAGGTCGCTAGTGAGTATCGCCGGCTTTGGATGTCTCGCGCAGGATTACAAAAATCACGTTTATCTAAATATGTATGTAACGCGAAGGCACGTTCGCTTAGCGACAAAAATGAGCAGTTCTTGCCCAAACAATATTACTTATAATCGTGTTTTATTGCGGGTCTTGTATAATTATTTTAATAAAATAATGATAAATAATTTGTCTTTTTAATACATCCCGGTTTCACCAAATTGAATCACGCTTGTTTTTAACTTCACTTTTTTTAATACCGATTTACCGGGTTAAAATCTAGCAACGCCGTTTAAAGCCCTAAAGTAGCCAAAATATGCGAAGTATCTCTAAAGAGATGAAAGTGACGTTTTAATGTCAGAGGCCAAGATCCCCTTAGGTCGTTTAGAGGCCGAGATCCTCTTGGGTCGTCAAGCCCTGGTACCCACAAAAAAATAAGCATAATTATGACGTTGTGCTCTAACGAGGCAACGTGTATATTTACAGACCTTGTTATAAACCTACAGACAATCGACTTTTTATGACGCAACTGGTATTTCTGAGCCATGTGACATATTATTATGATGTATATACTCGTATTATAGTACATACATGAACGTCTGTGATATGAACGTTACATTTTACAACAGTTATATAAAATCGAGTAATCGTAGCTCATGCGTTTATTTTGTCCAGGTTACGTTTTATTTATAATCAATTGTATTATTATTTTATAAATGTGTGTAGGTTAGGTATTCTTAGACATCTACAAAGTTACTTCAAATTGAATTAACATAAATGAGAATATACTTCGAATTTAATTGATTTAAGTTTAGGTAATTTAATTACATACGTACTCACTCAATGTTATTACAAAGTATGTGTAGGTACGATACGAAAATTGTTCGTAACGCAACGCTTTCGGTAACGTTAATGGGTTTAGATAATAACTAGTGGTTCTAATGCTTGGGTTACTATCAAAGACATCGTGGATTACTACAATTATATTATAATCTACGAAACTTTTAGTCTCGAACACGAATAAAAGGTCAAATTATACATAAGGGGGCATACAAAGAAGGAAATCAACCCCAAGTTGCCAAATTGCATTTTTCTTTTTTAGTTTGCTACAGTAAATGCGCTGGGCTCATCGCTATAAAATAAAACAGTTTGTTTAAGATAATGTAAATTTGAACGCAATGTAAACGACGTAAGGTGCCGTTTCCAGCAAGAGATGATTATTTGGATAGATAGAAGGACGCATACTATTATAAAATAAAATGTCTATTGTTTGGATTACTAGGTACGACTGCTGTGAGACTTTCTCTTTTCTGCATTCTACAGAATCTTTTTTTGAATATTGGGTTTAATCGGCCTCCGTAACGAAAAAAGGCACAACTATGCGTACTTTACACAGCAGTTGTGCCTTTTTTCGTTCCGAGGGCAGATAGCCATCCTGGCGTACGGCCATCTTGAATCATCTATTTATTTTCTAAATTTAATAGGTCAAGGATGTAAAGGCTATAGAATCGGGGAAGTTCGATCTATTTTTGTGAATTGTTGCAATAAAGTGTTTGTAAATTGCTTATTCCATCCTCTAAGGTACATTGTAATAAAATTAGGATTGACAGACACCTATATTAGTGTAAATTAGATTATGACAATAATGTTTCACTAGAACCTAGATATTGTTAAGAAACCCAAAAATAACGGGTTTACATCAAAGAAACGGGGAAATCATAAATAGGCAATTAAGTTGTGAACAGGTAAAGGAAATTAAAACTATAACAATGTATCTTGCCCCCGTCACAGCTGTTGCCATTAAAAATATGTAATAACGAGAGCGAAAATACTAATTTTGAAAAGTGATATTTTCTAGAGTGTGGATAAATGGAGCTTACGTGGAATGTTCCCAACAGCCGTCGCATTCCGAGTTTCTCTTAGCACATTTCTCCGGGGCCTTAATCCTGGCATCCGTATTCAACATCGACTTTCCTTCAATGATCCGTTTAAACAACATAATAGCAATAAAAGTATTTGTTGTTTACGACAATTATCACGTTTGTGGCGAATGTTTGATTTATTTAAAACGATCAGTGGCACTTGGTGGAAGGAACGCTGTTCCATTAGCTTGGCAGAAGAGCCAATTTCACCTCTACTGCCAAATTTGAACTGGTGCAATGGCTCAGCAGGCAGCGTCGAATCGCCATGAGCGAACAGGCCCCGCCTTACCTCGGCCCCCGTAAAAAAACATTGCCACAGATTAAATAATAAACCATCAGTCGGACAACTAACAATTTCCAAACATACTTTGCTTTGTGCGTTTTAGACGTCTAAAACGCCCGGCCTATATAAATACTAGCATAAGCGTCTATGACAGCGTTAATTTACGGGGATAAATTAATTCTAGGAAAAAATATTTTAAGAACAATGCTGTTGACATACTGTATGACACTATTCTGTGGTTTCCAGAAGAATCGAGGGGCGCGATTAACGTGCACGCTCTATAAAGCACAATTTTCTAAACTTATAAATTGCAATAATTTATAACGAAGTTTGCCGAGAAATTGAAGTGTCTAAACAGATTTAGTTTTTATTTCGTTTCTACGCAAAATACTTGGCTACATTATCTCGTTGAAAAACATAATTTCTCTAAAAGTAGCAGTAGAGTTCGTCAAGGGAAATACTGCTATCTTACCTATTTTTGCCGCCAAGCAGTAGTGAGCATTACTATATTTCGGTTTTGATTGGTAAGGGTGCTGGTGAAATCACAAACACATGGGACTTATCAACTTATGTCTCAAGGTGAAGGCGCAGTGGCAGTGCATCTCAGATCTTTGCGATTTAAAAGCTCTCAGTGGCACTGCAGCTGCTATGGACAGGCTTGTCGCTTAACACCAGGCGCACACAGTTAAATTCAACTCAATACAACGTGTGATAAGACGTCTAAATTTGAAAATATAAAACCTTGTGTACTATCTTTCCATTGCGCTAACTATTCATTCATTAGATACTCACTTTGTAACTTAAAAATAAAAGAAAAGAGATATCCAGTATATCCAATCAAAACGCAAATGAATGGAAAGTAAGGAAGGAGAAATTAATAACAGGTAGCATGATAATAACGCCCCAGGAGCACGTGTAGAGCGCATGCTCAACGCGTGGTCTCGCGGTCTCCCTCCGCTAACCTCCCCCCTCCCCACTCCCGCCAGCTGATCACGCCGAGGCAGCGTGTTTGAAAAGCCGGTCAACACGGCATTTAACCGTTTGCCATTCAATGCTATGTGTACAGACGCGGATAATAAATGCTCACGAGTATACAATACAGAATCATAACATTCCACATTCTTTATTTAGAAAACATTGAGAGTCATCCGTTTACAGAAGTAATCTAATGTGACGGTGCAAGGCATTGATGTTGATTTCATCGAATTGATTGTTACAATATTTATAGTAAATTACTCTGTGATGTAGGTATACTTAGATACACCACACCTTTTACTTTTTACCGTTTCTAGCATTGCCGAAAGGAAACTGTCAATTTCTTTGTTTCTACTTGTTTGCTGGAATCACATAGGTAACTATTCTAGTTCCCCAAACTAGGTAATTGAATAATAATCAGTTACATTTTTATATAACACCAAGGTTCTTTTTTCTTTCTGACCTAGAGTTTTTCTACACTATCCTTCATTTTTAATTTATTGTTTTATTAACAAAAATCAATTGAATTTCAGTAACTATAATATTGAATTTTGTCGCTATTCGAGATTGGTAATCTTGGTTAAAACTAAATTCTTTTAACTAGTTACTACTTATCGAGTTCTTAGGTCCGATTCTTAGGTTGAGTCAACTGTGACCATGGAACCTGTAAAGGGTTGACTTAACCTTGACAGGGCCCGAAACGTCGGTTTGTTTGAGAAAATAAATATACGCGATTTAAATCCGGAAAAATAGTTTCATTTCCTATGATTACCACTTGTCGTTGATAATAATTTTTCATTTGTCTTGCCTTTCTTATCCAATCATGTCTTTCCCATAGGTTGAAACGCCTAGCGCCTGAAAATTTAGTAAAACATTGATAGTAAGCAACTTTTGCCTGTAATAAATAATAATTATAATAAATAATAAACTAAAATAAAGTTATTTTGCTAGCTAACTTGACCAACATGTTAACTTATATAGATACATTACTTTAACTTGGTTCATCGAGTCATATGTATGTACGTACATACATTATTTTATGCAGTTAGTAACGTGTAGTGTGCATTATGTAGTAGTCTGTGGATACTGCCAGCAGTTGTAGTTACAAAAGGACACTATTTAAATTAATTAAAGTGCAATCATAAGGATTAATTTTGAAAGACCTTAGCGTATGAATTCCATCCCTGCCTTTTTGTAAGCAAAACTGAATGATATTATACTTGTAAAATGCCAGTCAGAATTTTTTTTTAATTGGAGGAAATATCCGAATGTCGAAATTTTTTAATTTGTAAATAAGATGGCCGACGCCGAAAACGCCTTGTCGTCGCTCACGTCAATGTCATTAACTGTCAAATTGTTAACCAAAACAGTAATATTATTTTGTTTTTCAATTTTAAAATGAAAGTTGCTAAATGTACAATATTTAAAGATTTCATTTAATTCTAAGAGCACTATGGCTTCCCACTTAAGTACTAAAGATAGATTATTGTCGTTAATAGACGATATTGAGTTGATAGCGAAGTAAGATCAATTTTGCATAGAAATTCCTATGTTTTTTATTAGTATTCAGGTATTTCCGTCTTTAAATTACTTTTGTATGCTTTCAGGGAGATGATTGAAGTATCTATAGCACCAAAATCACAGAAATTATCGGCTGCGGACCACGCTCAGTTGACCGACTTATTGCTCGCTAAAGATGCAGAATTGAAAAAAACATTAGAGTTAGCTGATGAACAAGCTAAGATACAGCAAAAAATGAACGAACTCAAGGCAGAAGTTGATAATAAGGTACAATTTATATTATAGATTGACTAAAAAAGGCCTTGTTATAAAGGTTACCTACTAAAATGTTAGATTACCTACTAAAATGTCGTCCCTGGCCAGCAGATTAAGCTACGCTGCATACGCAGTCCGCGAAATACGTGAGCTTACCGATGTTAGTACTGCTAGACTAGTTTACTTTAGTTACTACCATAGTATAATGTCCTACGGGATTCTTATGTGGGGTAAAGCGGCAGATATTCAAACCATATTTGTATTGCAAAAACGAGCGATTCGTTCTGTGTACTGTCTAGGCTCTCGGGTATCTCTCAGAGAAAAGTTTAAGGAGACTGGTATCATGACTGTGGCATCACAGTACATTTACTCAAATATTTTATATGCCCGTAAAAATGTACATAATTTCAATAAGAAAGAAGATATCCATAATATTAACCTTAGAGCTAAGTCCAAACTCATGGTACCACGATTTCGTTTAACCAAGGTAAACAACTCTTTTATGGGGAACTGTATATGTTTTTACAATAACATTCCGGAGCATATATTAAGTAGCAGTAGAGCTCCTTGTGAAAGAGCTCGTCCAGGGAAGTACTGCCGCCAAGCAGTAATGGTCACATTACTGTGTTCCGGTTGTGAAGGGTAAGGGTGCTGGTGAAATTACAGGCACATGAGACTTGTCAACTTATGTCTCAGGGTGACGGGCGCAGTGGCAGTGCCCCCAAGATCTTTGTAATTTAAAGCTCTTGGTGGCACTGCAACTGTTATGGGCAGGCGTGTAGCTTACCATCAGGCACACGACTTGTTCGTCCCGTTACTTAATGTCATAAAAAAAAAATTTAAAAAAAAAAAAATTAAGTTTATCATTTCCTAAGTTTAAAAACTACATTAAAAATATTTTGATCGAAAAATCATATTACAAAATTGAAGACTATGTGTTAGATAAAGATGTATGGAAAGACGACATGGCTCCAGAATCCACACAAATTTGATTCAAAGTGTATTCCATAGCATTTAAGTTTATTTGAAAAGAGCAATCCCTAGAGTTTCTTGCTCGTTCTTCTCAGGGAGGTCAGCGTAGTGAACAACCAGTAGCTTAAATGTGACGTTTTCAAGTGTAAATTTATTTTACCTATGGAATAAATAATCTTTGACTTTGACTTTGACATTACAGTCTTAAATATCTACGTAATTGCCAGCAGCAGTTTTTTGAAAGTTCATTCTTCTAGGACCAAGAGATTCATCATCTACAAAGACAACTCAAGGATGCTGAACAAATCTTAGCGACATCACTGTATCAAGCCAGACAAAAGCTTGCTTCTATTGTAAAATCAAGGAAGAAGCCTGTACTTTCAGAGGAATTGATTAAATTTGCTCACAGGTAGGTTTTAGGTTTCTTAATAAGTTCATGGGTAAAAATAATACCAAAATAAAGCCAAATAATGAAATATTGCGAAAACACTGATACACATTACAAATGAGGGCTCAACTGACAATACCAACACTTGAATTAATATGGTGAATAGACTACATAGTCAGTGGTCTAGTCCTAAAATATTAACTTACGGAAACACGTAGTTTTGATAATAAAAATTATCGAAATATTCGAAAATGGATGACAGGAAACAGGATGGCAGTTACCAAATTTGTTTTTAAGTCAAATTATGCGTTTTTATTGGGTTTTTATACGAAATCTACTGCCCTCAGAACAAAAAAAGGCATAACTGCTGTATAAAGTACACATAGTTATGCCTTTTTTCATTACGAGGGCAGTATACTTTCTTATATATCTCAGGGGGGAGATTCCGTAACTCCCCGCTCACAAAGGGCTAAGGGGGTACCCCGACCCCTCCACCATTAAATCAGAGTGTTGATATTGTACAGTCCTACCCAAATGAGACCATAAACAATCATATCAGTCTATGTCACGTTTTGATCATTTGGAAATTCCAGCTGGCAACAAACATGTTGAAATTTAGTAGCTTGAGATTTTACAAAATTATGCTACATTGATTTGATTGATGGATCATTTATTCACTTTTGCAATGCCAACATTGACTAGAAAATTGAGAATTGTTACATATTGATCTACAGTGTGTTTTGTTTTAAACTAGGACAGTATAGGGAAATCTGAAACTACAGAAGATACAGGAAAACTGTCTTAGGAACCATTAAGTCTTTTTTTATGGAAACAATTTTGTCATTGTCAATTTTTAGGTCAAGGGCAAGTTGTTTGTACAAGTGAATAATGATTATTATTTTCTGTGCTGATCAACACCGTTTCATGTAGGATCATTTCATTGTACTGGAAGAAAAATATCGGAGAGCTGAAGTTGGTCAAATTAAATCAAATGTTTTTCATACAAAATGTATAACTGTAAATGTAAAAATGTAAAATTGACAATTTTTTTTAATGCTGAAAGACTTGCTTTCATGTAAACATATTTTTTTTTTATTTTGGAAGAAATAAATCTGGACAAACAATTCATGAAATTTTACCAACTTCTGCTGTCACAATTTTTTTTTTGTCCCATGCTATAAAATGATACTTACATGAAACTGAGTCCATCAACACTAAAAAAATCTTAATAATTTTTTTTTTATAGGCAACTCACGCTTGACCAAAAATTGTATTATGTCAAAATTGTTTTCACAAAAAAAGGCTTAATGGTTCTTAACACAGTTTCCTTGTATCTTCTATGGTTTCAAATTTCCCCATACTATCCCAGTTAAAAAAAAAACTATATTTCACATTTTTTTATTATTAAGCAAAACATGCTGGATATAAAAATATAAACTTTATAGCATCTTTGATTAATGTTTAATAGTGTAACAATCAAAAGTTACCACTATTTTCAAGGAGCAATGTCGATGTTGCAACATTGACATTGCCCCTTCAAAACACAAAAAGTATTCACTAGTGGGACAAACTTACGACAAATCCTACATTTTATGACAGAATTAAACCTAGATTAAGTTTTGTGTAACTGAAGAGACACTCGTCCTTTGATATTGTGGCTGGTATACACACATAGTAATTAACTTAATTTTAAGTATTATAACATTTGCACTTGCTTTAGTGAAGCTGTAAGTACTTTCACATGTTGCAAACAAAGCATTAGCTCAACAATTACTAGAGAATCAGAGCCACGCTTACCAGGGAATGCGCGTAGTCCGAGGATGAGGGGTTTAGCTATTTTGTGAACAAAAAATAGGTTTACTTATCCACTAAATAGATGATTACTTAACTGCTTTGAAGTGATTATTTACATGCATGATTTAGGTTATTTAGTTAATTACTTCACCGCTTAATACACATTGTGTAAACCAGCCATTAGTTGCAGGGAGTTTAGCATTATGTGGACCCAATGGACCCAACCCATTGACCTTCTTTCTAAATTTCAGGATAAGTGCGTCAAATGCAGTAAGTGCACCATTATCATGGCAACCAGGAGACCCTAGACGTCCATATCCCACAGACCTAGAAATGCGACTTGGCATGCTAGGTAGACTTTGTGATTTACCACTCAATGGTCACACTCCATCCACTTTGAATGAACTACACCGCATCACTACTGGAGGAGGTACTGACCATTATCATTTATTAACAATATTTCCTTCGTTCTCGCAATTATTAGTCAATACTATGTTTATTTTGGTTGTTTGCTAACCTTATTATTACTATTAGCAGATAACAATGTTCAACAAATTAAAAGGAATAAATTGGACTACCTTGTTTGTGTTGCACTTTTGTTACAACTCATTAAGTCGTAAGACAATTCATTTTCACCTGTAAAGAAATTTTATACAAATTTGATGTAATGCGCAACAGTGAATTCTTTTATCTTTCTTTTTTTTTAGTTTGCAACCACTTATCTATTCAAGTACTAAAACTGTTAGTTGAGAGAGAAAAATATATTAATTGTTTAATAATAACAGGTAATACCTGTTTCACAGTTCCAGCTTCAGCATCAAACCAGTTCACATGGCATCCATCAGGTGAGCTACACATGTCGGTCGGAGGCGGTAATTCAGTCGCAATCGACGGCCGTAGCAAAGATGCGCCTGCGCAGGAAGACGTTGAGGTCATGTCTACGGACTCCAGTTCTAGCTCTAGCAGTGATTCGCAGTGAAATTGCGTATTTTTTGTAGAGGACACTTCTAAATGTATCAGGTGATTTGTACCGCCAGGGCTAATTGAACCAAAAAAAAATGCACATTCCGCTGGTATTTTTGTTGTCACCTATTTTATTTGAAGTGGAACAATAGATTTTAGTTAAAATGTACTTCCATATGCAGGAATTGTGTGAAGGAAAGACTGTTATCATCCTGTATTTTTATAGTTACTTATGTATTAGCTTTATATACCTAATATGTATTTATTAAATATAGATAGTTTGTCTCAATGTTCTATTATTTTTTTTCTATGCATTTTGTATTATCTTCTAGATCAGGGGTTCCCAAACTTATATTGTCTACTGCTCACTTTGAGAATAAATTATTTTTAGCTCCCCCATTTTTTCACTTACTTAAAAACCATTATAACTTCAAATTAAATTAATTATTGTGAGCTGTATTAGCGGAGATTAAACATTCATTCTAAGCGAGACTTTTACTATAACCCGCAAAAGTTAACTTGAGACCTGAGCGCAGTAGGTAGTACACAACGGCGCTTAGGTCTCAAGTTAACTTTTACGGAATACACCTGCCAATGAGAATGATTATTGAAACGCAATTTTATAGTAATCAGACAGAGTATCTTTTATTCAAAATAAAACAAACATAATCGATTCTAATATGAAAAGTAATGTCAAGGATGAACCTGATGCTGTTTAATAAGTTTGTTGATATCAGTTTCCAATTTACTCAACTATAAAGTTTACTTACCGGACTTCTACGCAAAGGTCCCAGGTTCGATTCCCGGGCCGGGAGAAATAGTTGTATGGCCTACAATTATTTCTCTCGTGAGTTTGGGTGTAATTTGTGGTTGTCTATGTGTGTGTCCATGGCACCCGCAACACAGGGTTTCCCTAGTGCGGGGCTTTGTTGAGTGTGTGCGTTATTATAAAAAAAAAATGCTACAATAAATTATAAAAAAGAAATGCTACAAAAACCGATCCCGCAATTGTACCCTCGATTGTGGTCAATCGTTCAACGATTCTTGATAGCATTCCTATCGTCATATTTGTGTGAACGTGGTTTTAGTGCTGTGAGAATGCTGCTTACTAAAAAGAGAAATCGTTTGCATGTTACCGAACGTGGTGACTTGTTCTTGAGTAAATTGGAACCTGATATCAACAAACTTATTTAACAACATCAGATTCATCCTTCACATTAATTTTTATATTAGAATCGATTATGTTTGTTTTATTTTGAATAAAAGATACTCTGTCTGAATACTATAAAGTTGCGTTTCAATAATCATTCTCATTGGCAGGTGTAGCCCGTAAGAATTAACTTGAGACCTGAGCGCCGTTCTGTACTGCCTACTGCGCTCAAGTCTCAAGTTAACTCTTGGGGGTTATAGTAAAAGTCTCGGTTAGAACGCTAATATAGCTCACAATAATTAATTTCATTTGAAGTTTTCTAAGTAGGTGAAAAAACGGCGGCGCTAAAAATAAGTTATTCTCAAAGTGAACAGTAGACAAAATAAGCTTGGGAACCCCTGAATTACACGGAGAGAAATATCGAACCGAGTTAGTTTGAGCAATCTCTTAGTTAATATTAGTTGATGTTCGCAAGTTGTAGTCGAGAGTCGAGAGCTCAGTCGGTGTCTAAGGGTCGTATTCCAGAACTCTACTCAATACTCAAGTCAGGACTTGAGTATTGCAGTGAGCACTGAAAATCATACTCAAGTCCTTGCCATTAGGGTCGTATTTCCAGTGCTTGAAATCATACTCAAGTCTGCTCAAATCCTGACTTGAGCATTGAGTAGAGTTCTGGAATACGACCCTCAGAGTCTTCCTAGATGAAATCACAAATCTCCCCCTAAGCCTCTACACAACGCCCCCCTTTTTTTCTGGGTCTCTGAACGCCCCCTTTAGGCCTGCAGAGCCCACAAGTGGGGGTATTCGCCCACTTTGGGAAAGGCTGTCCTAGATAGATAGGAAGGATAAATGATCCCTACTTTCCATTTAGGTATATTCGATGACGTAACTACATACATACCTATACTCGAGTAGGCCAAACACCAATTACGAAATTTTAGAAGAGTTTCTTAGTTCGCCAAGGTCATTGACCTAGCCACGGTTTATGTATTTCTGTGCACTTGAAATTTTTTTCTGATTTACAAAATAAACAACGGTTACTAAGTAGCAAATTTATAACCATGGATACCGTTTATCGCCATAGATTAGTTGTCACCTTGTTGACAAATTCTGCCGAAATATCTCGAAATCGTTGAAATTAAATATTTTAGTGAGTAAATTAGAGGCAATAATGTCTGAAAGGGCACCAGTGTCAGCCGAAGAAACATTAGTTCGTTACGATAACCCTGTATTGGTCACTAAACAACCTGAAAAACCCGTAAGTATACAGATTTTTATTAAAAGTAAATTTCTTATTGATTCTTGTTCTATCATTACACCAAATAATTAAATAGCGCTAAAAAAGGACTTCTGAATCGCAGTAATTAAAAATGGCAGTTACAAAAAGTTCACAATGTTTCTTTTCTGATTACCTACATCAAGTAGCTGTTGATAATGCTATATCATCAACATGGTGATTATACCGCCATTCACAGTCAACCCCTCGTGCGGGCCCTTCGATACAACCATGTATACCAACGGAAGCTAAGCGTGAAACAGAAGAAATATTAAATGCAATTCTTCCACCGAAAGAATGGGAAGAAGACGGGCAGATATGGACACAAAAGGTAATTTTGTATATTTCTAGATAAGTACTACACCACATTTGAGACACTATGTAAAAACTTATGTACCTACTTAATATAATCTCAGTACAGAGTACTAAAAAAACCGACCTCAAAAGTCATTAATCCCCTAGTTTGCCACCCTTAGAGGTGGAATATTTTCTTCAAATTTATATGGGACCACATCTGAGGTAACCTCTTTCCCACAAAATCGGTTCACAAAAAGTTACCGCGTAACTTACATACAAAAAAGACACAGTCAAATTAAGAACCTCCTCTTTTTTTGGAAGTCGGTTAACAATCTATTAAAACATAAGAATGTAAGGATCCTGCACCCATCTTAATCAAAATAGGCCATACAATACCGTAATGTAAATAAAATCATGATAGGTAACTAATTCAGTGAATGCATAGCTTGTTCTTTATTTTAAACAGTATGTATATTAATACTGAGTAGTAACTGGTAAAATAATGTTCCTCAATTTAAGTTCGACTTCGTGAATAGAAACAGGTATCCTTTCTTGCTAACTGGAAGGAATTTGAGTATTCACAACATGTGTTTTGTTGTCAAATATTATATAACGACACTGCATCAGGTGAGATGGAAGTCAAATGCGCACTTAGTTTTTAATTATATAAATACAAAACTGGCTTCAAATAAGGTCGGAGTGCTCAATAGAGCGAGGCTGTGGTACGTTACATTAAAAAAAAATATGTTCTCAGTACCTACACAGTGTAAACATGTCAACAATAAACCTTGTGTTAACCAGATATCGTCAACACCGGCGACTCGCTTGGACGTGATAAATCTCCAAGAGATGCTGGACACACGCTTGCAGCAGCGACAAGCGAGAGAAACTGGCATCTGCCCCGTGCGTCGGCAGCTCTACACTCAATGCTTTGATGAGCTTATACGGCAGGTTCGTATTTTAAAAAGGGCTGCAAATTGTATTTATGTCAACGAAAAATAGTTTTCTCTAAAAGGCGAGTAATAAAAACCTCGCAAACGTTTTTCCTAGAGTGCTGTGATAAGTTGATACCAGATTTTTATCGAAATAGCTCAGATACTGCAATGATAATAAAAAAAACCGACCTCAAAAGTTCATGGAATTACATCTATTTGCCAAGTTTTGTTGAAATCGGTTATCGGAAAGTGCGCAAACTCGGATTCATCCCAAGTTCACCACTATGCGGGACTTAACACAGGAAATAATAAAAATCGGTGCTCACTGCTTAAAGTATATTGAGAGAGAAAAACGCCTTCAATTGGATTAAAATAATTGCTCCTTATAATAAAATTTTGGCGTTATTTATAAAAATCAGTCTTCATGCGCGAACAGCCATCGTTAGAGGTGGAATATTTCCTTTAAAATTATGTTAGATCACTACTGAGGTACCGTCTTTCCAACAAAAAAAGAATCATCAAAATCGGTTCACAAAAGCCGTAATAGTTATCGCGTAACATACATACAAAACAAATACAGTCGAATTGCGAACCTCCTTCTTTTTATGGAGTCGGTTAAAAATATTGTAACTTGTTGTATAGAGAGTTTCTTATACAAGCCTTTAGAAGCCCACTGATGTATACATACCAACATTACTAAAATAAGTATACAACGTGCCATTATATTTATAATTATTTATTTCAGGTGACTATAAATTGTGGTGAAAGAGGCCTCCTCTTACTTCGAGTGCGAGACGAAGCTAGAATTACTATGGAAGCGTATCAAACGCTGTACTGTAGTTCGATAGCTTTTGGCATGAGAAAAGCTTTGCAGGTTTGCAATTTCGTATTACTTGTGTAGCATATCGACCTTTTATTGTTTACCTATGTACCTATATGTAGGGACAAGATTTAATTCCGGATCGGTAAAGCTATGTAAACAGTAAATGTGTCCAATGTGGCCCAATACACTTATATTTACAAATAATTTTCTATATAAATCAATTATTTAAAAAAAAACACTAATATGAACGCATTTAGTAGCTGTAGAGCCCTTGTAAGAGAGTTCGTCCAGGGATGTACTGCCACTTGACCTATTTCTGCCGCCAAGTAAAGCTGTGTTCCGATTTTGAAAGGTAAGAGTGCTGGTGAAATTACAGGCACATGGGACTTGTCAACCTATGTCTCAAGGTGACGGGCGCAGTGGCAGTACTCCTCAGATCTTTGCGATTTAAGGCTCTGAGTGGCACTGCAACTGTTATGGACAGGCGTGTGGCTTACCATTAAGCGCACGACTTGTTCGTTCCGTCACTTGATATTATAAAACTAGGGTGCTGACAAGTAGGGGTTTAATCCTAAATTCTTGCCATAAAAGGATACGTAAAAATCGGGACACCACCTCGAAATGTCGCCAAACTGTTTAGTTTAATGTTAGTATTTATTTGTATAAATAATCTATGAATTGTTCAGTCCGAACAAGGCAAATCTGACCTCATGGACCAAGTAGCAAAACTAGAAGCGGAGCGCTCTGCATTAGAAAAGCTATGCTCAGAATTGAAGCAGAAAACAGAGCAGTTGGAACGACGCGCGGCTGAATTGCGTGCGGCAGAGGAAAAGCGTCACCAGGAGGAACTTCTGGCTTTGAAGAAAACCAACGCTCAGCTGAAGGTAAGTCAAATTACCAATTAAATATCACTTAAGTGAGTTGATTTTTATTAACGGGTCTAGTATTATGTAGTAGAATTACATCATGATGAAATTAGTTTGTTGCAAGTTGTTTATTGTTGAACTTTCAGGTTTTTTTAACCGTGAATTATTTGGTTCATCGGTTTCAAGTCATAGTACATAGTTTTTCGGAAACTGCATTCATAAGCATAATTGACTCTATTAATATTTTACTTGGGTTACCTCACTTTGCTTTTTGTGTTTCCGTTATTTGTACAATATTAGACTACCTACTTATTTAATCGAAATTTTTATGGTTTCAGGCACAACTGGAGGGTATCATAGCACCGAAGAAATGAACAGTGTCATTTTATTTCATTATGCGTTCGTTATTTATTTTTAAGATGTTTTTGGTGTTGTTCCATATATTGTGGTTATAGATTATGTGACGATGTTTTATGTTCGCTATATTATAATAATTAACGTTAATTAATTACATTATTATGTAAGTCAATTTAAACCAATCGTTTTATTATAAACTGTTTAGGGTTTATATTATAGTAATAAGTAGGTCAATGGTAATGGGGTATTAATTTGGTCGTCTAGAGTCTGAACTCAGTATCTGTTTATTCGGACTATTGGCGTTGATTCACATCGCGTAGACGTTACGCGACGCGGCACGACGCGGCGCGGGCTACATTCAAGCGAGCAATGCAACATAAACTTTATCCTCAACAAAATAAGGCAACATTTCATTAAACAAACAAATGAAAACGTAGATGCAGTAAGCGACGGCGGGCTGCAGAAAGCTGCGGTAGGCGCACTTTATAAAATGCAATATACGATAGAACATATTCTCCACTAAATAAATTATACATTTCTTCAAGCAAAAGAAAAAAGCCGCGCTGCGTAACCTGCGGTAGGTAGCGTTGATTCACATCGCGGAGACACTACGCGACGCGGCGCGGGGCTGCATTAAAGCGAGCAATGCAACATAAACTTCATCCTCAACAAATTAATGCAACATTTCATTAAACACACACATGAAAACGAAGCTCCTTCAAGTAGCGGCGGGCTGCAGAGATGTATGGCGGGCGCACTTTATAAAATGCAATATGCTATAGATCATATTCTTTATTTAATAAAGTATACATTTCTTCAAACAACAAAAAAACAAAAGAGTAAAGCCGCGCGGCGCGTCGTGCTTCACGACTCCGCCCACTTGTCTCACCTCTGACAATACAAAGTGCAACTTAGCTTCTCAACAATAAGGTATATTTCTTTGCGTAGTAGATGCAATGTAGTGTATAATATTATATATATAAAGCTACAAGTTCTTACTCACTGATAGAAATGGAACGCATACTTTCCGATATAGTGGAAAAAAAATATTTATACCGTTGTACGCGAATAGGCTCCAAAGCTGGTCAATATCTGTTTTTGTAGGGGTGTTTTTCCCAATTCACTTAAACAATCTATTATAACCCCAGTGCATAAAAGCGGAGAAAAAGAAAATATAAATAACTATAGACCTATTTCCGTATTACCGGCTTTATCCAAAATCGTGGAGAAAATACTTAATTCTCGTCTGCAGAACTATTTACATAAATACAATATACTATCACTGGCACAATTTGGTTTTAGAGGAGGGAAATCTACAGAGGATGCTGTGACTGCCTTAAGCTCGTTGGTTACAGATCAATTAGATACAGGAAATAAGTGCTTGGCCGTATTCCTAGATCTCAAAAAAGCTTTCGATACTGTCTCTGTTCCAATACTTGTTAACAAGTTAGAAAAAATCGGAATAAGGGGAATCCCACTAACTCTTCTAAAAGATTACCTTTCTAGTAGAAAACAAAGAGTTAAAATGGGGTCATACGTTAGTGAGGGTGAAGTTGTATCAAACGGCGTCTCACAGGGAAGTGTACTAGGACCTACCTTGTTTTTGATCTATGTAAATGATCTGTGTAACCTACGGATCAAAAATGCCAATTTTTTCTCATACGCCGATGATACAGCTATTGTCTTCTATGGCAACTCCTGGGACACAGTAAAGTCAAGCACAGAGGTTGGAATGGGTCGAGTAGCGACATGGCTGAAAAGTAACCTCCTCACACTGAACACCTCTAAAACCAACTACATATGCTTTGGTACAAACGTTTGTGCACAGCCGAGTAAAAATTTTAATCTTACTATTCACTCATGTGGTAATATAAATGATAGACATTGTGGCTGTCCGGTTATTGACAAAGTAACTCAAATGAAATACTTAGGTATTATTATCGATCAAAGACTTTCCTGGTACCCACACATTGAACAAGTTTCTAACAGGGTTAGAAAGCTAATTTGGATATTCAGATCGTTGAGACATATTTTACCAGTAACTATTACCAGAAAAAAAGACTCCCATAAGCATCTACTTAATGAAATATATGTCGCCTTGGTGCAGTCGAGGCATGAAGAGGCATATTGTAGGCAGGCAGGGTGGAGGCGGCTAGTGCAGTGAGGATTCCATCGCTGCACTAGGTTCCTTCGCGTTTGGATACCACTTTCCCCTTAACATCAGGTGGAGTGGAGTCATTTGCCTGTCAGGTATAAAAAATAAAAAAAAAATAAAAAAAAGTCTGTTTTAGTGTACTGTATACACATATGCACCTCCCGGTGCAGCAAAATCTAAATTTATAGAGGTAGAACGAGCACAGCGAGGTCTACTAAAGGTGATGTATTTTAAAAAACGTAGTTACCCCATGGATAACCTGTACCTTACTTATGGTTTACTTTCGGTTAGAAAACTTTATTTGCAACAAATCATTTTAAAAAAACACAAATACCTACCGTATGATATAGGCATAGAAGCAAAAAGGAGAAAACATATAGTAGCACAACCCCCTCAAACAAAAACTTCATTTGCAAGCATGCAGTATAGTATATTCCAGTCAGCTGTACAATAAATTAAACAAGGAGCTAAATATATATCCAATGCAATATTATGAATGTAGAAACGTGATAGATAAATGGTTAAAATTGTTAAATTATGAGGAAACAGAGAAACTCTTACAACAAATACAATAACACACACACACACACAACCACACACATAAATGCACTCATGAAATATTTGTTTCCCTTTTATTCTTATATGTATTTGGCAAGTATGAAATTGGTTAGATATCTAATAATAATACATCTATTTACATATATTTAAAAAAAAAACTACATTTTTTGAGTTAATGCACTACTGTATTATTAGTGGGATATAGAGGTATACACTTAAAATGTAAATGTGATTTGTAAAAAGTGATGTGAAATCTTGTTTTTTAAGTACTGTATTTATTAACTTTAATCTTAATCCTAACGTAAATTAAATTGTAATGGAAGAGCGGAGTTTCCTGGCACAGGCATTATATGCTTAAAAGGAGACTCCTGCCACTAGAAAATATACGACATTATGTTATGTTATGTTAAAATAAAGATTATTAAAGATCTTTTTTTTTTAAAAAAAAGCAAAGAATTAGATATGAGAGGACCTGAATATGGAAAATATGAAAGAGTGATCAACGGCCTGCAAAAACTATAATATACGGAGGGAGTATTTGTGCATTTTTATGAGGTACAACCTGGTCACTTTCCGCGGGAAATAAAAAACGTTCGAAATTCAAATAAATAAGATGGCCGCCATACAAATTTCAAAGCCCCCCTATCACGGAAACTATTAGAGATAGGTAGGAGGTGCTCAAAGGAATATCATAGAGGGTAACACTGATCAACTGCCTGGGTTATAAAAAAAATTCAAGATGGCGATTTAAAAATGGTGGCCGAAGAAAAACTTGCTTCGATCCGGCTGAAAATTGGCATGCAAGGGTCTTTAGGAGTCCTGAATCATAATTTGGGTCAAAAGTTTATTTTCGCTATTTTTTAATATGGCGGCGAAACAAGTGTTTATAAAAATTAGCTCTAATTCAACTGAAAATCGATATGTCTGATATAATTTCGGGTAAAAACTTTGTTTCCGCCGTTTTTCGATAACAGTAATTTTTATGTAAATGGCTGTTGAAAAAACTTGCTTTGCTTGGATTGAAAATGGGCACGAAAAGATTTCTAAGATTGTTTGATAAAAATTAGTGGTAAAAAAGATATTTTTGCAATTTTTAAATATGGCCGTTAAAGAGTTATTTAAATTTTTTAAAACAAAGTGATAAGTGCCGAGGCCGTAGGCCGAGGGCCGCGGAGGGCGAAGCCCGAAGCGTATGCACGCTATCGCGATGGAGATAATATACGGAGGCGAATTACGAGTATAAGATCTCACAATTGTAAAAATGTAAGGTATACTTCCCAATGTAGTGGAAATGAGATACTTATTATAGCGTTGTTGTATCTCGATCGTCTTTCTGTTAGATTCCATTTTCTTGAAAACTATGCCAAAAAGAAGGATATAGGGGGAAAAAATGCTAAACTGCTGCTGAATTTCCTGTACTATGAATATCGAAACAACGATAACCCAGAATACTCAGACCAAAACCAATATGTTCGTTTTTTAAATTGGCCCAAATCAGGAATCGAACTCCTCATCAAGCTCCCGTAGTACTAACTGCTGTGCCATTGAGGAGCTTGAGCACACCCCGTAAACCGAACCCGACCTCGCGCCGCAGGCCGAGCCCGACCGTTATGTATATATAATATACTAAACAAAGTCGATATTTCTTTGAAAGTCAAACAAAATCACTTTTGATAGAAACAATATACTATACAGTATGTTCTTTATTATAATGCATATTATAAAGTGCGCCAAATGTGCAAATAATATTGCGTGTATGAGAAGGTCCCGGGTTTCATTACCAGTAGAACCAATTTAGGAATTGTACTTTCTAAAGTGGTTTTGCTCTGAGTAATGCGGTGGAGTGAGTTCCGTAGCTCTTGGTTCCGGCCTCGATTCCCGGTAGAACCAATTTTGAACATGACTTTTTTTAAATGGTATTAGCCTAGGTGTTCTGAGTAGTGCCGCGGAGTCAATTCCGTAGGCTTTGGTCCCAGGTTCGATTCTCGGTAGAACTCATTTGGGAAATGAACTTTTTAGTGGTTTTGGCCTAGGTGTTCTGGATAAACTTGATGAACTAAATAATGAAACAAAGGGGATGAACTTATACCTTCTGCTGTTGTCAGACAACCGCCAGTGCCCGTAGCATAACGCCGCAATAAACCTATTATAAGACGATAGACTGCCATTTTTGTTTTACACTATAGCGAATATGGCGAGCACCGTGACGTCGACGACGATGATTTTTGACGCACCGCGCGGCCCTGGATCAATGATCGCGAAAGAATAACGCAGTGTCAAACATAGTCACAGCTGACTTTAAAGCATTTTGACAATACTATACGGTGATTTTATAAACATAAAAATTGAGCGCGACAAACGAAATAAAAAGAAACAGTGATATGAATATGTGATAAACCTCCCCGTGACATATTTATTGCACTCGATAAAGCAATGTTGCCATTATAAAAATTTTATTTTCTATTGCGAATACTGAATCGGCAAGATGCGGCACTAGTATCATTTGTTCTTTTGTTTATTTGATAATGAACGATTTTCTGATTCGTCGCTTTACAACGATGCAATTAAAAGGATTATAATTTTCGATGATTAAATGACAAAGTTAGCTATATGTGCAATTTCATATCGCTTGTTCTGGAAAATGTATAACAAAGGTTCATTATCAAGTAAACTAAAGAACGATTGGCGTTAGTGCGGTATCTTACCGACTCCCAATAAAAAAAAAATTAATAATGACAACATAGCTTTTGAAACTTTTGGGTTACATACAACTGCTCCATGTGGAACTGAGTACTTGAAACTACTTATATATGGCAATACCAGAATACCAAGGCCAAAGACACTTCAGAAAAGTTCATTTCCTAAATTGGTTCTACCGGGAATCGAACCCAGAACCAAGAGCTACGAAGTTCGCTTCGCGTCACTACCCAGAACACCTAGGCCAAAAAAACTTTAGAAAAGTTTATTTCCCAAATTGGACCTAGAATCGAACCCGGAACCTTTTCATGCAGTGCCGACAGTGCTAAACGTTGAGCCACCGAGATCATCTTATTTGGACTATTATATTTATTGCATTTAAAATCTACAAATTGCATAAACACCCTTGATGACCTGATGACCTGACCTGACCTTTCAAAGAAATATACGTTATTGTTGAGACGCTAAGTTACACTTTGTATTGTCAGAGTGGGCGAAGTCGGATAGCGGTGAAGCTGCGCGGCTTTACTCTTTGGTTTTTTGTTGTTTGAAGAAATGTGTACTTTATTTAGTAGAGAATATGTTCTGTAGTATATTGCATTTTATAAAGTGCGCCTACCGCAGGTCGCTGCAGCAGTTTGTTTAATGAAATGTTGCCTTATTTTTAACCGACTTCAAAAAAGGAAGACGTTCTTAATTCGACTGTATGTTCTTTTTTTTGTATGTATGTTACGCGATAACTCCGGTATTTGTGAACCGATTTTCATGATTCTTTTTTTGTTGGAAAGGAGGTACTTCCATAGTGGTCCCATTTCATTTTGAAGAAAATCATCCACCTCGAATTGTGGCTGTTCACGAATGAAGATTCATTTTTATAAATAGCGCCTAACTTTAATTCAGGAGCAATTACTTTAATGGTTGATTTTGCTATTTCTCCAATTCAAGGCGTTTTTCTCTCAATATACTTTGAGTAGTGTCGTAGTGAGAACCTATTTTTATTATCTCCAGAATCAAGTCCTTTATAGTGGCGAACTAGGGGATATTTCAATAAAACTTAGCAAATAGACGTAATTCCACCTACTTTTGAGGTCGATTTTTTTAGTACTCTGTACTGAGATTATGTAGAGGATAAAGTTAAAGTTGCATTGCTCGTTGTCGTCGCGTTGCGTTGCGTCTCGGCGATATGAATCAAGCCTTAGGGTTAACTCATTTATGCAGAACACGGCCCAATTCATGCAAATTAACTTTAGTACATATTTAAAACTGTAGATGGTCACATTTGGTATGCCATTCCAAATAATAAGATATAAGAAAAACTGCAAAACTATTTAAACAGGAATGTTCAATTAAAATTCATTTACAATTATAAAGATTGATGAAAAACAGTTAACTATCGGTTGTCGTTGAAAATATAACTCGAAAGTTTCTCAATGGTATAAATTGTATAAATAGCGTTTCTTTGAATTTATTCTCGAAACTAAGTAACTTTATGACTCTGACTTTTGCTTTAAAATATTAAAAGTACAGACTCAGCTTCTTTGCGATTTTATTTATTATTATGTTATATTACATACAATCAATGCCTGTTTTAAAGAGCAAATAACCTTGACAAAAATATAACAGCTGCCATCTATTGGCCTTTTCGAATATTATAACAATCGCATCGCGGGTTTACTTCGGTGCCATCTATTGATCAGCGTTAAGAATCAAAATAAGCATCCGACTAAGTAGTGACGAGAGCGAGTTCGACATTTCTTTAATACTATACTATGCTATATACAATGCTATGCTAGTACTAGCATAGTATTATATTATCTGTGATATTACAAAAAAATCGCTATTATGCTTCAAATGGAATTGTTAGTGATAAATAAAACAAAATATTAATTTTATTAAAATATATATTAAACCATTTAATTGGGACAAACATACAATATTTCCATTAGTTTACAATTCACATATCGCTAAAGAGCCTTGGGAAGGTACAAAGGGCACACTTAGAAAACCATTCTTTCATTCGACATATCGAAACATTCATCCCATCATCAATATTTAATAGTATTAAATTTGATATAGTTATCAGCGAAAATATACACTTTTAAGAGTAAGGACAAAATACAATATGCATTATAGTCGGATATTACCATCAGAATACATCTTACAGTTTTCGTATAAGCAAATTTTCTTTACCATCGGTAAGGGATTACGACAATTACATTTCAATATAATGATTATTTAAAAAGTTTCAAAAAAATTATTGAAATTGAATCTGAATTAAGTATACAATAGCATCGTAACATTACATAAAAATCCATTTGAGAAATTAAGGCACCACAGTACATAGAAGTAAAAACTAAAACATTTAAATTAAAATAGTAATACACCAGTAAACACAAATACTGAATGATTAACAACAATACACAAATAAAATATTTAAACTAATTAATATTATGAATAATAAAAATAACTTATACTGTTCGAGGTGGAAATGTGATGCCAAATTGCGTATGTTTGTACAATTACGTTAGTTGGCGAACCAACCGTGTTTAAATACTGCTGTCAATGGTATGCAGTTACAGACCACATATATGAAATCGTACTCGTCCAACATTAATCTATATCTCATCAAATCACATTCTCAAATGTTTCTACTTAGCAGGTACAGCATCAGCATTCAGTCAATCATAAAAAATTTGCACGGAATGAAAATTATTAATATTAAATACGTAAAGTATTCAAGAACATTCTCTATCAAAATAGATAGTAACACCTATGATAAATCTAAAAAATCTCCGTCGCAAAACATTAATAGAAAAATAAAATTGTGATCAGAATAAAGTGCTACTAGAACGTGTCCCTCGTTAGTGGATTTCTTCAACCTGCCCGTTCTATATGAAGTCGGTGGTATTCTAAACTTATTATCACAGTTACAATACAAATTAAGGATGGAAACTCGTTCAATACCTTTTCTTGTTTCGATTCATTGAAGAAATCTACGATCGAGTTCGATTCTCGATATGCATCGAGTCGGAAAAAATAAGTTGTCGATTGTCATGAGAACAAATTGTAACGGAGATGGACTACTTCTTCGGGGGATGTTTTACTATGGCTGTTCGGTGTAGGCGGTGATTTTATCGGCGGGGCCGACGGGTATGGCGGTCACGTGTCCCGCGCCGCCATCCAACAGCGGGTTTACCACTTGCACTATATCTGGCTGGAGCGAATTCTCCCCGCCGTCTATCTCCCCCTCTCCTAAGCTGATTCCCGCCTCCTCTAAATCAGTAGGCGCTGTTTCACTACATGGACTAGTGGTTAACTCCAGCGATATTATTTTTTCTTGCGTTGTCTCCACCTGCGTGAATGCACCAAAAATTGTGTTAAGGAATGTAATATACGGCGTCTTTACATGACAACATCCCACATCTCTATAATGAAATGGAAATGAACCTTAATGTTCAATAATACGACTTATATAAGTTTGATAGTGATTTTTTTACACCACTATAAAATGTTTCATATCATACTAGCAACAATTTCCAATTTCCATATCATTACCAGTATAGTCCCTTGTCGTCAAATGTTAAAACGCTCATTTGGATCCATTATCGTTTTTATCACACAATGTAATAATAATAGTGTTAAAATTAGATTAATGTAACTACAACTAAATTGTATGAATTAATGATTGATTAGATACTATTTAAAGAGGTAATAATTAAATACTATGTTTACCAATTCCATTGATCGTAATCGCCACATAGTCACCTCCAATCATTCAAAATATACTTATGGATATATTTAGGGCAACCCTAAACAAAAGTTGAATTATGATAACAAACGTCTATATCCACATAATACCAGAACGTTTAATAGAAATAAAAAAAATCTTTGTTTTTCTTATTAAACGTTCTAAAGCAAGCCGCCAGTGGTTCATATGAAAATTATTATCGTAATTCTACCGGTTTTTAGCGCTCCTATAAATATCCCCAGGGGTGTATTTGGAGTAAATTTTATGCTAGCTTTGAACCAATGAATATGATTTAACCATAATGTAAAAATACTATCAATTGCAAAAAAAAGAAACAACATTGTATAAAATAAACACTTAAAATAAGCATTTGACACTATGTTAATTTTCACGAAGCTTCTACAAGCATTAGGTTTTAAGATTTGCTGTACAAACTAGGCATGTAAAAAACAAACCGAACCCGAAAAAAAAGAGACAGAACAAACCATTGCTTTTGGTGAAGAATCCGAGACTAGAATCCGGGTACAGTCTGACAAATGATACATAACAGGTTAGCATGCCATGCTGTATGTAGGACAACATGCAACACACGGGTGAGACATTTAAAAATATTGTACTCAGAAATATTAACGTTGCATTTTGGAGGATATAGAATATACAAAATGAGAATAATAACATACTTTAAATATTCAACATATTTATCAAATAAAGACAATTACCACATAACCAACACATAAAGCCTGATTTCCATTTGTTAATATTTTTTAGTGGGGTGACCGAACTAAGTGTTTAGATCTACAGTTTCTACGTTTACAACGATTATGGTGTTTCACTTTTGGTGCTAAGAAAATCATTATGTGCGTTTATAACGGCCCGAAAGATTATTGACATATATGTGTTTTACACGATATTAATTATCTATCAATGTCAGTCTCCTTAAGCTTGTCATTTTTCAGTCCAATTTCAAAAAGTTAGTTTTTACGATACCTGATTGACATATAATATGAATAGTCGCAGTCACGTTATTTCGTTTTAAGTCAGTTCGAAGTCAATAGTCATAAGAATTGCACGTAGAAAGCTAAGCATATTTGTATACAAAAAGTTATAATAAAAACAAAACCACACACAATAGGGCATTGCTTGTGTACAGCGGTTTGTAATAATTAGCAATGTACATCGCGGCGAACGCGTACCTCTTTCTCAATGACTTTCTCAATGTACTCGACGGTTCGGACTTTAGTCTCTCCGGTGGTCGGGCATAGATATTCCTCGGTGCGCAGAGTTATTCTCTCGTTTAATAACTTTTCCTTCTCCTTGATGGCCAGTATCGGCCCCGGTTTTGTACGTAACGCAATACGAGGCAGGGGCCATTTCTATAATTTGTAAAGCCAATGTGACATTCACACCTCAACATGGACAGACAGTATGCCAGCCAAACAACATATAACCCCATCCAACATAGAACACAAAATTAGTCAAACAAGTTACCAAACAGCGGTAATATGAATAGATTTTATGATTGAACACAATGCAATATTTATACGCGAAGTAATATTCAGTGTCTTGACTATGAAAATGGGTCTTATATGGATCTGTAATGTGTCCATATTAGAATTTAGTATGAAACACCAATTATAATTATTTATGAGTGTTAATGACCATTGATGTTAACGGTTACAGATACACAATATGTATTATTGGATTATGACAACACATTCTAAAGCCAGAGTTGGAAAAAGACAATCTTATGATATATATGTATAGATCGCCTTGTTTCAACTTGAAACTGGGTCGCTTAGTAGTTTTAATGGACGACATTCAAAGTGGTATCTATATAGGACATATACGTATCAAAATAAGTTTGTAATTACCTCGGAAGGAGATTTCTCTCGCGACGGCATTTCACCTATAATGTCATTGGCTGGACCCACCATATTTTTTATGGCTTTTGATGTTTCAATTGCATCCTGTAAACACAAATCAAACGTATTTAATTATAAAATAAACAGTGATGACAGCAGAACTTGTCTTCAACACGGAAGGTCCGAGATAATGAACGTCCATTGCAATTATAATTTGAGTATGGTTGATAAAAATATCGTAAGCAAATGTATACTACGAAAAATTTACTATTCAAAGATTATAATATATGGCAAGTTACAGCACTTGTTTTGGGTCAACATCTTCAAAGCAAAAGGTACCATCTTTTTCTAGTAAATGTCACGATGTGCTTGTATTCGAATTAACTTGTAACGCTTTCTCTTTTTTGAAATGCACTGAGATTACAATCTATTGATCTCTACATAACTGAAAAATTACATACATGTTCAAGTGAACGCAGGCGCGCGGCTCGCCAAGCAGCGCGACGTGCGGCGCGCGTGTTTGCGTCTTCAGGCTCGGCTGAATCGCGATCCGCTCGTCGTCTTGCTGACTTTGCTGACGGACTTACTCCACCCGTCGACGCACTGGAGTATTAAAATGGTCTATGGTTTAAAACACAGAAGAAAAAACAATGGAAGGGCCTTAAGCCTCGTTTACTATAAGAACCGATGTCACCAAAACTCACATTTTCTTAATTTCAAACACTACAAAATCTAGATATTCATTGGTCGTAATTTCAAATTTAAAAAGAAATAACAAATTCTGGAATGTTAATATAATTTAAACTTTACCCTGTTGGCGCATCGTTGAAGTTCAATACCATCAATACCTATTATTGCAAGTTACGACGTTTTGATATTGTATTGAAATTTCAATCAATGTGCTGCCATCTAGCGGTTAATTGCTGAACGAGGACGAAATGGAGTTATTAATTTAGTACTCCAAAAAGAAGTGGCGATAATGCAGGGGTATAAGCTTTACTTTCGTTTCTCGTAACAAAAAAATTATTTCGTTATATCGAGTTCTTAGGTTTTCGCGATTGTTACACATAGGAAATGAAACTATTTTTCCGGATTTAAATCGTTTTTTGGACCATCTTAATTCTTTTAGTACTAAAATCCAATTTACCATGGAACAAGAGAATTGTGGTACTTTAGCTTTCTTAGATGTTTTAATTAAAAGAAATCCTAATAACACCTTAGGCCATACTGTATTTCGAAAGAAAACCCATACAGATAGGTATCTGAATGGTAATTCCCATCACCATCCTAGCCAGTTAGCTACCATGGGCAAATCTTTGTTTCAAAGAGCATATGGTGTCTGCGACAGTAATCAACTGGCAGGGGAACTTCAGCATATAAAGTAAGTCCTACATGCGAATAAGTTGAAGATTCCACGATAATGCCGCAGGCCCCGTGTGAAACCACCAACAGTCGAGCGAAGACCTGCCATCTTACCTTACGTGAGAGGTGTTACAGACAAGATCGGAAGAGTCCTCAGGCGTGCATCTATCAAGACCTATTTCAAGCTCATGAGGAAGATTTCTCAGTTCCTGAGACCCGTGAAATTTAACATCCCCTTACAGGATGCAGGAGTTTACAAGCTTGACTGTGAGTGCGGTCTCTGTTATATTGGACAAGCAAAGCGAAGTATTTGTACCCGCGTCAAAGAACATATAGCTGATGTCAAACACCGTCGCGTAAACAAGTATGCAGTCTGCGAGCATGTCATGGATAAACCTACACATTCAATGAAGTTTGACAAACCCCAGGTCCTTGCAAAAGAAGTCCGTTATCTACCCAGGATGCTGCGAGAGGCCATTGAAATTAAAAAAACCCTAATTTCAACAGGGAAGACGGTTTCTCCGTACCACCAGTTTGGGATCCAGTATTTCCTCTAATGAAAAATCCCAAACAGACATAAGACTGCAGTACTAATTAATATGTTTTAGTTTATTCTAATTTCTATTAATAATTAATAATAAATTAAACTTAATAAAAATTCATTCAATAAAATAATTTGTAAAACTTAATGTAGCGTAAATTGGAATGTTTTCTTTGTAAAATTAAAAATAAGGTATTTAATTAATAACTATTGTAACTATAGTGGAAAAAATAGGGTGGTTTGCATTAATATTAGACATAACTGGTTGAAGACTGTACCACCTCAGTCAACCGTGACCATGGGACCTGTAAAGGACCCGAAACGTCGGTTTGTTTGAAAAAACAAATATACGCGATTTAAATCCGGAAAAATAGTTTCATTTCCTATTTCATTATACACAATTTTTTTTTTTTTAAATAAGACTCCGATGAGATGAAATACCACCACGGATAATATTTTTGGTGCGAATATCTTTTTTGCACTCCAAAACAATACGACAAGGCTTTTTTGGATATGAATAGAAACAACAAACTTTATAACTGTAAGTATGGTACATGTGAAAATGAGAAAGCTGTGTAATTTGAGAGAGGAGCTTTTATACCTATGACCGTTCTCATAAGGTTCGTCGTCGGAATGCGAGCTATATCCGCTCGGGTGGTCCTCCCCTGGGGACCAAGAGCGTAGCTCTGCGCGCGACAGAGACGCCACCTTCCGCTCCTCTTCCTGCTTCAATTTCTCCACCTCATCCGCTGACAAGAATGTGAAAACTTTCTCTGCGAATTAATAACATTGATTCTCAAACAGGGTTTACTTTCATTTACTGTACTAAAATCTTGATAGTTCCATGAGGCCTTTCGATAAGTATATATATTTTTAAAATCTAACCTGGCTTGGGCGACGGTTTGTGACTTTCTTCCATTGCACTTTCGAAGAATTTCTTCTTGTCGCTAACAGACGCTTTCACAAAATTACCAGAATGAGGTGGGGAAGCCTGAAAGTGCATGATTACTTATGAATTTTACTTTCCACGTATATGTCTAGAACGTGAAACACGACAAAATACACAGATTATGATTTAATAAGCTTATGATATGCATATTTATGTACCTAATATACAAGCGATGAAAAACCGTCAACCAGGCAAGTAAACACCCATGCAGTCAGTATTATAAATGTTAATATATATGTCAAAATAAATGCAGTCAGTAAATTAAAGAACATGCAAAATATAAAACGTTGCAAGTTAATAACCAAAGATGGGTAGGATAAGTAACAAAAATGGGATATGGACGGTCTGTGTGGTTTTAGTAATGTTTTCGGGGTGGGATATCGACAAACACAATCAAAATAAGCCGAGTGTGTGAGGGTGAGAATGCCGTACACTGATGATTACCTCGCCGATGGCAAAGGCTTTCATTTTGCTGCTCCATGCGGGTTTCGGGCTAGATGTGGGCAGGGAGTTCGCTTCCCTCTCGAGTTCCAAATTTTTGAACAACAAATCGGGTTCGGGTGCAGTCGTCACTTCCTCGAAACGCACTCTTCTTTCTGACTGTACACTTTTGGGCCGATCATCATTATTAGTCGGGGTGGTTCGAGTGACGTTTGCATTTATATCTTGCACGAGGGGGCTAGGTAAAGATGGAGATACTGGAGATGGTTTGCAACATGTATTGCAGGAATGACTAGAGGCACACACCGAAGGACTGCAAGTATACGGATTGTAAGTGCCCGCAACCGTCGTTAGAGAGGGGTACGGATTGATGGGTGGATATGTTGATGAGTGAACTATGCTCGATGGAAGATTTCTTACACGTAAATCTCGTAATGAATAATGTGTTGGAATGTGTATCGGAATGTCATCGGATAACGTTATGTCTGGGTGTAACTTACACGAGCATTGGGGAATGTGCGAAACAGACGGCAAGGTGCCGTAATGCACATGTAATAGCTCTGGTGGCTCGGGATCACCACCAGGACTAACTGATAACTCGTTATAATAATCATCACTACTAAAGGATGTGGGTTCGGGAGTGCGGAAGACTTGATATTGAGGCACATGTGATTGAACAGCTAAACGAGATGGAACGCCTACGGGATGAGAAATAGCCGTTGGGAAGGCGGAATAATTGACTGGAGGGGGAACTTCAGCTTCAGGGGAGTTTGTAGAGTTGGACTGCATGGATGTTTCGGCTACATCAGGCGTCGGCAGCACTATCCGCTCGGGAATTACGGTGATGGGTGGCAAACTCATATCTTTTTCATCTTCGGAGACAGGAGGACTCTCACTTACGTTCGAATCGAACAAAGGCGGAGGAGGAATGATGATGTCATCGGGGTGGATCGGACTGGCCCTAGCGACCGGCCTCGAGACCTCCAGCTCGGTTTTTGGCGATCGTTCGATTAGTAAAGAGCTACTGGTTTTCACGCATGCATCGTTAGTCGCATAGGCCGTAGGAACCTCTTCTTCGATTTCATGCACCTCATGCAGGAGGGGTTGGGTAATCGGTTTCATGTCAATCGATTCTCGTTCATATTCGTCGTGTGGATCTTGAGTAAAACTAACTCGCTTCATTTGTGGCTTGTGAGGCACAGGTGGTTTCGGTTTAGGAGGAGGCGGTGGCGGCTGCTGCGGCCTCTGCTGCGGGGCGGCTGGTGAGGAAGGCGCCGCCGGCGCATTGTAGTGTGGGGGATCCACTGGCGTGCCGGCGGCAGGCGTCGGAGGGGGAGTGGGCGCAGCGGGGGGCGGCGTCCGCACCTTCTGGTGTGTGAACACAGCTAGCGGCGAAGGAGGCGACGCTTGCGTGCTAGACGACTAACCAAACCAACATAATGTACACAATCGCACCGACTAGCCACTTTTAGCTAATAAGAAGACAAGGGTGTCAAAAATACAAGCCGTTTTATAGGAAAATAATTTTTACTATTAACGTAGCACAAATGTTCAGTTTCGGCTACTTGCATGAAAAAATTACTATAAATCAGTTAATTTTTTCAATAAAGGCTTACAACGAATTAAACGGTAAACTTGTACGCGCCAGAAACAAAAATCTTCCAAAATAAATGTCATCGAAAAATTAATAATGAGAAAACAGATATTGTTATTGAAACATCGTGTATTTGTATGCAACACTAAAATATAAATTCAATAATAATAATTTTACATTAAAGTAAATAGACGATCAATAATAACTACTTAACAGATATACCGAAGTCAAAAATTGGCAGTTACATTAAATTTGGCCAAATAGTTTATAATGTAAGTACAGTCAACAGCACGATCGGTTTTACGCTTAGAAATTTGGAGCATCTTTTCATAATTGGTATAGAATTAAATTTCAATCTTCATTGTAAAAGGAGACGTGCTGTTGCCCGTACATAATTTTTAACAAATTTCACATTGAGATTAATACTATAAAATAAACGTAACTGCTATAAGATTTCAACGTAAAATAAAAACCAGAAAACAATTATATTGATATGTCCAATGCCACTGATACCAGATCGTGAATATTAAAGTTGCATATAATATTAAATAGACAACCAGAATCTACTAAAGATTATGTAATTTAACGTATGGGAAACAACAATAAGAAGACAATACACTTGGGTAATGTTTACTTGAGTGTGAATGAATTACATTTTAACTTTATTGGGAGTCAAGGAAAATTGCGCTAAGGGTTATGTTACATTCATTGACACGTTTCAGTAACAAGCCCATACTAAGTCTAGGGGTTAAGGCACCTTAAATTCATCCAGATAAGGTTGATTGATAACAAATGTGAAAATGGGCATTCTACGAGAATATATTTAAAGAAAATAAAGAAAACACCCATACTACACCATGCAATTTTTGCCAGATGCCGCCATACATACACGCTATTGCGCCTGACACATAATGTAAGGGGCTGAGCGTCCAACAAAAATATTTCCCATCGTAACTCTAAATATACGGAGCTATTCTTATACTATTCTCTATTCTATACGCCGTCCAACCATTAATTTAACTTTTGACAGCTCGAATTCTAATCCATTACTGATGTCCTAACGCGTTTCCAATTAGATTTATTTATAACAATCGATTTTTATTTAAGAAGAAGTTATAATCGTGAATGGGACCGGATTCACAAAAGAAGATTTTGTCTGATTGGGATCGTGGTGTTGCGTTTGACAATTTGTGTAATCAAGAATTAATGTTAATGAGGATTTAAATGATTCCCGTTCATATGGAAAAGAATCCGACGATTCATTATAATAAACGACAAGAATTTACTATAATTATTTATAATTTATTTAGTTTCATTATAATGTATTAGACAGGTAGTAAAATGTATCAACTTGAATAATCTTCGTTACATAATATGTAGGCTCGATAAATATCAGAGCTAAAGAGTACGTCGCTTCTTCTTGCACTAAAATTAAAAAATAAAAGAGTCCAGGAAGTATTGCATTTTTTTTGTCAATGGCTGTACGTCAATAATTACGTAACTTCGGAGGCAAGCATATGTCAATAGTTAAATAAATGGTTGGATGGAGTATAGTCAAATAATACTTAAGTAATGGGTATTTTCGTTTAGTTTTAATAGCACGGTATAAACAAAGAAGATGGCACCAATATTAATAACAAAATTGTTACTTCGCATAGTGAATCTCCTAAGCCCATAATATTGAAATTAGCACCATCTGTTTTATTTATAAAGTGCTAGCAAAATATTTCCTTGACATTGACGTTATTGCACATTGGGCAATATTTGGAGTAATATTTGTACCGAAACGCACCGTCAATATTAATGAATATTAAAAAAATAGCTTCTATCATAGGTCGATACTGAAACGTAATACGAAATGTGGCATCGCCCTTTTACGTAGCATTATTGGGGTACAAAATTGGTCTTTTCTAGCAAAGATTACAAACACCTACTCATTATAAATATAAAACAGTATTTAAAATTAATTTCAAATATTTGAGTACCTAAACTAAATTGGTTACATAGAATACATTTTTATATATTGGTCATTTTGATTATTTGAGTACAATGTCATGGGTCGGATATTTTGTTATTGTATATGACTTAGTTGTGATGAATGAATAATGGAAAAAATATATATTAATTTGTTTGTGGGGGTATTGTGATATTGACACAGAATTTTATACCACATGTTGCTATAGATTGATTTTACTACGCTTATATTGATAACCCAGATCCTTAATACTCAGAGCGGCGTTAATGAGAGACCTGCACGTTAACCGAAGCGTCGTAGGCCCAAACATTATGTACTGGGCATTCCCCATAAGAAACGGGCAGACTGTTTTTGTTTGTTGAATTGGCTGACTAGACCTTGTAAGTTATAGTTTAGGATACGACGCAATTGTTATATACAATTGTATAAAAGTTCCTAAATAAAGTAAAATAATACTTAATTCTCTGCATAGGTTCTCAGTAAGCCGCCCTAATATTAGATTACAGTTAGAAATTAAACGACTGCCGTAATCCGGCCATAATAAATCCCCTACTAAAAAGTAAAACGAACGTATTTCCCTTAAAAAATAGATCTTAATATAAAAACCACCATGTACATCCTTAAATAATAAATTCATAAAATATGCCTTTATTTACACAAATATCCATTCAAATTCGCGTATGTGTATACAAAATTTGACATCCATGAATTGTTAAATTCATAATAACATGAGTCGTGAAGTAAAATGTAGTTTGTATGTTTTCAAAACATGAAAATTTAAGACAGTATATTGATATGTATGAAGCTTATAAAATGTTTAATTTTTAAATAATTAATGTGGTCATATTTTTTTCTGTTCAGAAATTAGTAGTGTAAGTTTAAAAACAGCTTCATACACATCGGGAGCACTACTAAATTTAATAAGGTATATAAATTACACATTTCCACTCACCCCATTGATAGTTAACTACGTATTTACAAAAGTCTCACACCATTTATGTATTTACTATGTGTTTTCCGCCTTTTCCTCTTGATAAGCATTCTGCAATGGACGATTTTTTTTTGTCAATTATAGTTTATTTTTCTAATCTGTTTAACACAGTTGATATCTAGGCGATACTTGTAAGCTAGCACATGACGACACTAATCTAAGCTACGAACATCGATGTATTTTCAATCACACTTTGAAGTTCAACTTAAACTTTATGAACTCATGCACAACAACTCTTATTGAGTTGAGTTACATTTAACCTGAACACATATAAAGAACAGAGGGGTCTAAAAGAGATCTTGTGTCATTTTTCCTTTTATTGGTCTACATAAGAGGCTATAAGTAAATATACTAAACAACATTTATTTTGGAAGATAAAATGTTAAAATATGTAGGCAATAATTAAGTTACGAAATACACATAATAAAAATTATATTTTCATGCAAGCAATATTTTTTACTACTATCGAAGTGCATGCTTTACATAAAAATCAGGAAGATACTAACCGTGCAAAAATACATTGCGTTTTGGGTCTTATAAGAGTTAAAATTAAGGTTATACAAAGCTATTTAAACTTTCATGCTGTCATCAGATTCGCTATTGAAAATATAAAGCTTTCAAAGATCGTAAAAAAATACTAAAAAATACTGGCACATAATAATTGTTAGAGTACCACACAGTATTATATAAAATACATGCACATTTAATAAAGGGTTCAGCTGAGAATTCGGTTTCTTATTTACCTTGTCACAACGTATTTCTACAACTGCATTGGATGAGATTACTTTTTAAAGGATGTACAACTAATTCGGTTTGAACAATTCTATCTTTAGTACACGCACGAATTCATGACAAATTCAATTAAGAAATGTGGAACCGATACGATAAAAGGCTGAATAATTACTTTTTGACTCGGAAATGGTTTACTTTTTACAATTTAAGATAGCTCTTTCGATTCGCTTGAGCCGTGGAGAAAGATGGTAGAGAGTCGCCCACAAAATATCTGTACCCTTTAATCTTTAAAAATATTCTAGCTGTATCGTTCGGTAAATTCCGAATACTATTAAATGTTCATTATCTGTATGCATAATTAATGTAGAAATAAAATGCTTCATGTGGATATAAAGCTAAAATCCTACCCTGTGTTTGCATACACGTGACGGAACGGTGAACTAATCTGTTGGTGGATTAGAATCATGTATGTCCGCCTAAATATATTCTGATTTCACGAGCAAACTATCGCCAGTGTTTCTTAGGTAAATCTAGTTGTTTGTTTCGTCGTACTTGTAAGTTTTCTTTTAAATTGCGTTAAGAGTCTTAAAATAACTAGTCAGCCTTTACGTAGAAGATTGACTCGCCCGTCAAGCGGCAGAATAGTCATAAACTCGCGTGTGTGCTTTATTTGTTATTCCTTACTTAGCTACTAATGCCAATTACAATGTTTCTACACAAACGTGGTAGCAGAAGCACTGACCTGAGGTTGCAGCGTATGTTTGGACATTACAACGGTAGTGGTCTTGTGTTGCGGCTCTGGTGACGTCGGCGACATCGGCCGAGGCTCCAATGCGATACTTTCTACGGCGTGAACAATGTCTAATACCTATAGGAAATTATTTGTGAAGTAATAATGGACATAAACAAAAATGGTTTAGAAAATTATGAAGGTGATATTAAAATGTCTAAAAATAGTTTTATATTTACTGTTTTAAAATATCTTTAAAAATCAACATTTGTTGTCAAGATTTAGACTTTCTCAAGGCTAATTTAAGAGAAGTTCTTAAGAAGGAACGTACTTTTTCTGGTGTAGACTTTTCTCTCATTTCTGCGACTTGTTTCTCGTGTTCAAACTCAACCAGATCCTGTTGGAAATGCTGCTCCTGTAACAAAGCGCGTCCACGTTACATGTAAGTTTTAATATAAAATGAAATTATTGAAAACTTAACGTCCTCGAATCCTATAACGTCATAGTTTTTACTTATTTATTTACAAACATTCGTATCGATATACAATCATTTCCATGTCCACTTGTGACATCCATACTAGATCCGTGTATTATTTGCAACTTCATTTGTTGAAGGAAAAATAACAAAATCTTGAGCAACAGAATAACGGTATAGTTAATTGGCGGCTTAACGATCCAAGATGAAAAGAGAATAAAGAATTGAAGTTACCGGTTGATGCGGGTGCAAGGGCTCATCTCGGTCCAGGCTTGACGTTGAGTGAGACAGAGAGCCGCCGGTGTCCGCCGTCCCGCTCTCGCTACCGGTCTGTTGCAAACACATTGCTCTAACTACTTCAAACAATCACATGTGTAGAAAAAGCGTGCTAACTATCGTTTATTTTATTAATCACTTTAGACACTGATTTCTGGTTTCAAGGTTTGTGTTATTGCGTGTCAAATAATAATAACAAATTGTAAATAAGTCAAGCTAAAGATTAATAACATACATAATCACTATTACGATGTGATTGTGGCCTTGAAAAACAATAAAAAGTATCATTGTGATATTTATATTGGTGATATTTTATAATACATTTTTACCCAACAGTTTGAGTTTTGGAAAACAAAAGATCTATATAACATGACTTGTTAAAAACTTATACAATTGATACTCACAGTATACTTCTCTGGTCGCGTATATCCTTGACATACGATAAGATGTAATGGCGCGTTCGTAGCTGAACGCAGGGCATTGACGGCTTCATTGTGCGTCGCGCCGAGTAAAGATATGCCGTTCACTTCTAGCAGACGCATGCCGACCTAGCGTGCATTGAACATATGTAACTGTCGATATATTTTTGATATATGAAAAAATATATTACGAGATTTGAGCAACTCCTGCTGTCCCGATTTTTTTCATCCCATACAACGAAATGATTCCTTTATGACTCGATCAGTACTAAAATTAATTTTGGTCAATTTCTTTGATTTTTTATGGAAAACACACGCTTGATCAAAAAATTGACTATGCCAAAACTGTTTACACAAAAAATACTTAAATGGTTCCTAAGACAGTTTCCTTGTATCTTCTATGGTTTCGTATTATACCGTACCATACCGTCCCATTAAAAAAAAACACTGCATAACTTACTGACCAAAATAAAAGATGTAAGTAAGTACGGAGCAGAACACTCAGATCATCAGAGCTTTTCACTTTACACTGACATTGGTATTGATGTGGTATTAAAAGGTGCTCAAATTTTGCATAATCCTTACCTTAAGTCGTCCGTCTCTCCTGGCAGCGCCGCCACTGTTGATCTTTGATATGAAGACGCCCTCGTCGTTAGGATCATTAGGATTACCACGTTGACCGTTCAGCCCACCCTTTATGTGCATACCTAATTTCTCGCCTTCTTGTTTCGTTATTGTTAGGTCCTGAGGAATAAATCTAACATTTAGTAATTTTATATATATAGTTATCGTTATATTTTATAAACACACGGCTAACACGTCAACAACAACCATTTGCAGGATTTTCCAGGGCAATACTGAAAAGGTTTGGTTTCGTTCGCTGTCTACAACAACACTCGACCTACAACATTACATGCAAAGCCATATAACAATATCATGCTGTCAATATTAAGCACTCATTCAGGTATAAACACATAAAAAAAACCTAGCACAAGACTGTGGTGTGTAGTATATGATAACTAAAGCTTAATAAAGTGTAAGCTACGAGTATCCAAAGGCCATCTATGTTCCTTCAGAGTCGCTACGGAGTAGAAGAAAGCATCATTTCGAAACCATTCATAAAACGACGATAGCTGAGCACATAAACTGACTGGATGGGGGTGGATAATGTCAGACATATATTTGGTAAAGTAACACACAGAGGTTCGAGACGCCAGGCGAGGCTCACTTACAATTGTGTCAACGACCTCAACTTGAATGGGACCCTGATTGTGCGTCGCGTTCACCAATCAGCGCACGTGTGGAACAAAACAATGTATCGCATTTTATAACGTCAACAATTCCATAATATTTCCTTAGACAGTAATGTGTCGACATATTTCCCTTTCTTGACAGAATACGTCCTGCAGTAAGTAAGCGACAATTTGCAGTACAGACACTAAATGCTCTTGTCAGTAAATAGATATGTTTCCATTGGTGCATAAGCAATATCCATACATATTATATCGATACTGCCAAATACTACTTTAAGCGACGACTGATATTCTACTATTGTTTACAATATAACTTTGTTGGTCAGTAATAACAAATCCGATAACTTGCATCCATGCATAACATTCCGCGGCTTATGTTCATGTTAACATACAAATCACGGTTAGTCAAACGAGTACACGACAAAATGCAAACGACACTTTTGCTGCAATGCAACCATTTCAAACTTGAGAATGTCAAAGCTGAACCGATTTCACAAGAACTCAATAGCTTACTGCTTAACACGGAGCCAAGTCAAGGAAGCAGAGAATTGATGTACAATTTGCAGTCACTCTTTTAGCAGTGTTAATATCGACTGACATAATTTCAGCCACTGTCGGGCCAAATACGATTATCTACAATTACGATTCTTGGTCAATGTAAACAAATCAGCTAAACAGTTGTCAACGTCTTGACAGTGCATTATGTTAAATTGTTAGTACTACTTTATGTAAAAAACGTTTAGGTAACCAATGAAAGGCCATTGAAAGATTTCATAGCTAGCTACTTCTCCAATGACATTTGATATAGCATCGAACAGACAGAGTAAAGAACCCGAAAATCCTTTTTATTGACCTTTATTGGCTAATCAATTAGAATGTAATACATCAAAAATTGTGTAATAGGTTCTGACCTGGAAACCGATGGGCAGAGGATCATGCCGCACAGTTAACGTAAGGGTAGGTCCGGGTGTTAGTAGCAGTTGAACGGCGTCGCGGTGTGTAGCACCGACTAGTTCGTGTCCGTTGACCTTTAGCAATCGATCGCCCATGCGCAACTTGCCTGATCGGGCTGCTACGCCTCCTGGTACCACCTGATAAAATACGAGCTTTTCAAAACGTTCTTAAAACAAGTAACATAAAATATTCGAATAATAATAATATTATAATAATAATAATATCATAATATATTATAATAATAATAATATCATCGGCGAAATGTCAGTGATAGCCAATAATAATTTACTAATGAAAAAAATAATATTGCGCTAGCGTAGAAAGCCACATTTTCGTCTCATGCTATATAGCCATGCCACCTTATTTTTGTCTATTATGATATTACCCACTGTAATGTACGTTCAACGTACATTATGTACATGTATTTTTTGTGATACAAACGTATTAACTATTAGTTCAAAAGAAAAAAAAAACAATTACGGTGCCGTTGATTCTTTGTAACCACGCCACCTATTATTAATTATTGTAAATGTAATTTTAGCTATTTTTATGAATTTAGCCAATATACAAATGGTGTGTATTATACACATATCAATAAATAGACGAAATGTAAGTTTATTCTGCTATATTTGAAATGTTAAATTGTATTATGATGAAACGCCTACATATTCACTCTTACAAAATATTGCCTAACAATTTTGCTAGTACATTATTGATAGGCGCTTAACAAACAATAAATACGATGAATTAATAATGATAGGGAAACCACCGCATTTGATATGTACGTAATACACGGCGATTGTACTTTGGCTAAACTCAAAAAAATAGCTACAATTGCATTTACTAGTGTTAATAATAAGTGGCGTGACTACAAAGAATCTTCCGTAGCAACGCCACAATAATTTTTTTTTCCATTCGAACTAATAGTACATTCACAAAAATACATATGCATCATGTACATTAGACGTACATTACAGTGGGTAATATCATAATAAAAAATAGGGTGGTGTGGCTATATAGCATAACACTATTTTCAAGCTCTGAAAGTACCAGTATGAAACCACTTATCGAAAGAAATAAGTAGTACTGGAATCGATCATATTAAAGACAGAAATACAATTTTCGTGATCTTACGTGTGATATGAATATTCCCGGATCCTTGCCCCCAAACGGTACGCAAGAGTGATCCGTACCCCCAATAATGCTGAAGCCAAGAGACCCACCTTCCTTCATCAGTACGACATCCTGTAACAATAGATAGTAATGGATGCTTATTTTGTTCTGTACAGAAACAATTGAGCAATTAAGCGGAAAGTTCGTATATGTGACAGTCACTTTTACAGATTTTTAATTAAACGTATTCGAGATTATAGTCATTATTATCATCATAATAGATTCCGCTTGCTCTTCGTAGGTAAGCGCAGGGAGAACGATTTCTTTTTTTAACGCTTGACCACAATCTCTTATTAAGGGATGAATGGTCGACGATGTCACGCATTTATCTAGTAAAAGTATATTCATTCTAGCCTTGAGCAAACCTAAAGGACAATGCTCAAGTTCCACATAGTCCAGCTAAATGAAAATTGACGTCTCTCAATCGAAGGTACCAGGTAATTACACTGAATTTATTTTTATTTTACAAGAGAAAGTTGATATAAGCATAACATTTTTACTATGTTATGTTCAATAATTAACATTGAAAAGTTACTTTGTAGTACAGAGATAAATATTATTCTATAGTAGGTACAGTAGGAGATACATCAAAGGTTACAATTTGATTCACTACGACAGGCTAATGAGATAAAAACGTACAAAAAAAGCAGTTATTTATTTTCGACCGTAATGCCTACTTATCCAGATTTTGACATTTCAAGTCTCGTTTATATTAATATATATATATATATATATATTAATATATATATGTTTATATTGTCGAGTGTAAATGATTTCTCCAACATTGAGATAATTAAAAGTTTTCTAACAACTTTGAAGTTGAGAGTCAAATTCACTTTAAAACAGACTTATCTAACCGTTGTAAAAGCTTAAGTTTATATTTTTTTAACGTTCTAGCCGTATAATTAATAAATAAATAATAAAAAAACGTTACGGCAACTACTTTGATTTTGTTTAAAAATAAGTATTTACAAAACATTAAATATTTATTCATCGACTTATATGCTGTTTTATGAACAAAAATAATATTATTTGCTAACGTACTTTAAGATGGATATAATTTTTAAACCGGTCGCGAATTCAAAATTTACGAGTCCAAATTGGGCATTCTCATTTTGGGGAAACTCAGATACCAGTAATGTCTTTAAGAACACAAGATATTTCATACAAAATCTTCCATTCCTTTGCCGTTCCGATCAATCCCTACCGCGGCTTCGATGCGCGAGGAAAGCGCATACGTTTATAGCGGTCTACGTACAGCTGATTTCAAATGCTAAACAGTCTTAATTTCCTAATTTTTAAAAATAAGTTTTGATGCTTTTCCATGATATGGCAGCAATCGGAATCAGTAGTTTATGTTTTTCCATAGAAAAATTACAATAAAAATGAAATATATAATTAGACTACATATTGATTTTATGAAAAGAAAATAGTAAGGACAAATAAACAAAGCTTTTACAAATGCGTTTGTAAAACATAAATTCAAACTGCACATTGTACGGACGTTACACACGAATCAAAATCAGGTATAGATATGAGCATATTTGTATTATAAAATATTCATAGAACGCTAAGAAATGTTAATTTTTCTTAACTAGTTATGTCCGTACAATTACAGTCGGGCGCACATAAATAGTGTAACTATGTGTAGTGTCAGTATGAAAGTGTACAAATATGTTATATGATTTAGCTTCATCGGGCAGTAGCTCCCCTGTCCGAGAAGACTTTGTCATAAGAAAACTTACTCCTGACCTTGACTTCATTGTTATTTTAGATTGTCATATTATTCTTGCAAATTTCGATAAGCTTTATTAAGTAAGTCAATTAGGTCAACAGGCAGCTTCTTGAGAGGAAAGGCTTAACCTCGGTATAAATTGTAAAATGCCTTAGTTTAAAAATAATTAAATTAAAAAGTATATAACACATTGGTTAAAAAATAAATTAATATTATATTGTAAGACAATTAAAGGCATTTTACATTACCATTTACGTCCAAGCTTCGGATATATTCGAGTTTTTTTTTATGGCGGGATATATATAATCATTATAGAGAAATTCTTTAACCGGTTAAAATGGCATTTCAAAGTTCACTTTACATCAGGGTTCGAAATTAATAAAGATATTTATTTACTGTAATAATTATGGCGATAATTATCACCTCCAATCCTGCTTTATAACTAACCTAAACATTAAGGTCTTAAAATTGTAGCTTTCATTAATTTAATATGATTACTATTTTCGATAACTTTGATTAATTTAATATGATTACTATTTTCTGATACCGATAAAAGCATATTTTTAAGAAAAAGCTTCGGAAAATTCAAATATTAAATGTCACTGCGTAGCCTTAAGCGAATGGTAACCTGGTAAAATAGGTTAACAATGCAAATTGTCAACTTTCGTAAAACTCGAACGGGTTCGAAACTTGGACATTATAGTACGTTCTGTACAAAATAATTTATTTTTGATTTGCGTACGTAATAAGTGATGAGTGAAAAATGCATTTTTTATTAGCCACTTACGTGTCTATAACGACCAGATGAAATTACTGCAAAAATTCGGTGCGGCCTGTTGAATTTCAATATCAATTGTATGTAATAATTTTTAAGCCCTGTGATCAGGGGACGTTTTAAATACATATTTATAACGATACGTAACCGCTCGAATTTTGTAAGAAATTTTACCTGATGTTATATTAAAACTAGTGCAGGTCGACGCTCGGTGCGGTGTCAGCCAGAAGCCGTATGTACAGACGGATGGGCGGACTAGGCTAGGGCTTACTTCGGCGATGAGCGGCGCCACGAGGTTGTTGTCAGTGACCCGCGTCACTGTGGTCTCGGTGAAGGTGGACTTGGTGATTGTTTCGGTGACGCGGCCGAGAGACGCGGGGGGTGGGGGCAGCATGGCAGCCGCACCCGCACGCTCCACTGTCACGCGAACCCCGCTGGAAGGTGGCTCGGTGCTAGTCGCCCGTGGACCTCCCAGGAAGTGCGCCGGGATCATCGCTTGGAAGTCCTCGTTCGTGATCGGCCGAGGCTGCGCGGTTAACACGTTCACATCGAATCAGTGGACATTATGTGGGTAAGTGTGCTTTAACGCCGAGATATAATCATGGTGACGTTTCATATTGATGTTTATTAACGATTTTGTAGACTGTATTTTGGTGTTCAAAAAGCTTATAAAATGCATATTATTTATTTTGTGAACATATACTAATAGAGCAGGTGTAAAATTTGTAAAATTTCTTGTTAGCACTATTTTGTGTATATGAAACGGAATCTTAGTCAAAGGTTCTTGTAAACAAAGTGTTAAAACGCAAAAAGGATTAAATGAAACGCGATGAAATGAATGTTTATTTAAACGATTATTTCATGTGTTTATTTTAATATTATGATAAAAATGACAACGTCATCATAATCGTATCTGCAGGTAAATAATGTTCTGAAAAATAAAACAACTAAAAATGTTAAGTCAACTGGAGTGTATGAAAGCTGTATTCAGCCCACACAACGCAGTAACGATAGATACCACAGTCTAACATCACGAAATATGAGCTCTATATTCCGAAATGCAATAACTATAGTATTCTCGCCACGGTTGCGGGCTGAAGTGTATCTAACTACGATGTGTACATTCACAGTGGTGTGAAGCGAGAACGTAAAAGCACGGATGTGAACGTGTTAAACCGTATACCATCACCTGCGAACGATCGAGCACAGTAAAAGTGGACATGGGGCTTACCTGTATATCGTCGAAAACGTCGTCGGTGGACCCGTGCATATTATTCGCGCCGGGAGTTAGAGGCGTGCTCGTACTGTTAGGTGTCGATTTCGTGCCAGGCTGGAGTCAATAACACAAAAAGTTTTAACAAACGCACTATTTATAGTGCGCTTTTAGTAATTTTGATCTGAAATTACTTTAAAATTTTTGTTTGATAAATATAAAATTTCAAAATTAAAAATATAAACCTCCACCGGTGCGATGCCAATTTGTAACCTCTAATGTGATTACACGCAAAAATTGTACACTGTATTCACTAACTCTATTCCAGTTGTCCATATTCACAAAATAATAGAAGTTAAAGTATGTAATTGCCGTTCTATTTAGGAGAAATCAAACAAAAAAAAACTTTTATTTAATAAAAATAAACATAGTTCTTTCTTCTATGCTATACATTGACTTACAAATAAATGGACGACGGGTCTAATACAAAAACCACGAAAAAAATGTCCCAAGTCAACCTATTTAAACGTAGTGACATGTAAAGGAATATGTAAAAGCTAAAACGTTGAATTTAAATTGTAATGTCATCGCAGTACTGTCTAATTTTGCTTGCTTCGCTGTCAGTCGAACAAATGAAGACTAAAGCGTGAATGACGCTCTGTATACGATTTTAACGCCCTATAAGTTCGGACACTTTTTAGCGCGGACCCGACGTCCATATAATTGTAAGGCAATGATGCTATAGGTTATATTTACGTAATTTTACTGAAAGCTCTCTGAAAACAAATGAATAACGCTAAAATTTTTAGTTTTGAAGCCTTCCTCGACTTTACTAACAAGACTTTATTTCAAAGTGAACAAAAGTTTAGAACGGCAATATCGTACTTATAACTTTTGGGTAGGCCTAATTTTGAATATCGATAGTATTTTGAGTATTGATTTTGAATATCGATGTTTGTGTTCCAAATTCCGTAACATGCCCAAATCTAACTTGTACGCTTTTGTATGTGAATGGTGCGATGACAGAGCCTTACCTGTCCATTGGGTTGGCTAAGTCTTCTCGGTGCGGGCTGCGGCGGAACCGCGCCAATGGTTGTGAATGGAGGGGGCTTTTGCACGGGCACCACTGAAGGGATGGGGGTGGGGGTGGAGTGTGAGATGCGAGGTGCGGGTGGAGCAGTATGGTTGCCCACAAGTGGTGCGGTTTCGTGATTGGTGGGTTTCGGTGCTGCCAACACCGTTACAAGTTGCACGGTCGGCTTGTGCTCTCTCACTTCTTCTGAAGTTGATGTCGACTTCCGCTGAATCGGATCTGAGACGGAAGGAAAAACACATAGTTGAATTTATGGTAAACTCAGAGGAATGCTGTTTAAAACTTTAGAAACGTCAAGTCAACGAGAATTGTAGAAAAAAAATCCAGTACTACGATGATGTTGTCTGGTTAAAAGATAAGCAATTTACCCTGATCAGGTGTGATAGTACGCTGTAGCACGAGCCGCACGAATCTTTCGTGCCCTGTGAGAAGAGAGACGGCAAGTTCGTGAGGGGCGTTCTCCATATCTACGCCGTTTATCTGCGAAGAGAAAACATCGATCAAAATTCTTTACGACCTATGGTTTCTATCCAGTAGCTGTTTTAATTCCATACATATTCAAAGGCTCTGAGTGAGAAGAAGGTGTCATTGAGTAACACTATATTTAGTTAGGGGTTTTAATCGTTATTATGTACGGACAACGGCACATCAGACTACACATTTTTGTTCGAAAATCGCCTCAAGTGCAACGGAACAAGATACGTCAATGTGTAGCGTGATGTGCTGGCGTGTGTACAATAAAAACAATACATCAAGAAAATACTAATAGAGTGCAAACAGATAAATGAAAATACTACCTAACCAAACATGTATACAAAATCTTCGCAGCACTACTTGTTGGCTCAGATAAAACGGATTGAAACCACCCAACATTAAATGCATGAAAACCAAACTATGCCAACCAATATTTGAGGGTTACAATTTCTGCACTATTGTACTTAATCAGAGGTCACTATATTAGTTACTTCCATTAAATACCTTATATCACTCTGTTCTACGACAATAACATTATCATTTGTTATAGACCAGTATATTATAGACTAGCACTTACCGAGATGACTTTATCCCCGACTTGCATCTTCCCATCCTTCGCCGCAGCACCTTGTGGCGAGATACGCGAGATGAAAATGGCATCACTGTCCTCTCTGTAAGGAGGGGAACCTTTGCCACCAGCTATACTGAATCCTAGCCCTGCGCCATCGCGTATCAGCGTAGTGTGGACTAGCACCTTTTGTTGATATACTGTGAATAAGGATAATGTTATACTCTTGGTTAAAGCTGAAAATTTGGAGTCAGCGTACAATGTACTTATACCAACTATAAAGACCAAATTTTTGGTGAATATACTTGAAAAGAATTGGGCTTGACTTGCTATAAAATGACAAAGACGTAGTAATAATAAAGCATGAATAACTTACCAGGAGGTACATAAGGTTGTGTCACAGGCGGCGGTGGCGATGCCTGAAGTCTCTGATATGTGTCCGTAGTGATTTGTACCGCCGGTGACGGGCTGTAAAGCCCCCTCGGTGTGATTGGCGTAACATTGTTGACTTGTTTTTGTTCCTTAATTTCTGGTTCGAATTCCTGAGCGTATTGGTTACCGATGATAAGAGGTTTTGTTGGTATACCGCGCCCGGTTTGCACCTAAACATTAATACGTAACAGTAGCACAACGTTGACTTTTATTTTATTTCAATTACTCACATATGTATTTAAATCATGCATTTAGTTGAATTTAATTTTTTTAGTCACAGAATGTTCAACACATTTTAACTACAGGCATATAATGTCATTTTATTTGTACTGTATATATTTATATAACATTATTTAAGTCTGCGAAAGGCTGCTGGCAGCAGATGGATGCGACAAGCCGCGGATCGGGCGTAATATCGCGCATTGGGAGAGGCCTATGTCCAACAGTGGACTGCGATGGGCTGATGATGATTTAAAGTCGAATAATGTTACCAAAGGTCAATCTTTACCTGTCCATTTTCCAATGTAGAAACAGTGTCATTCGTTGACAAAGAATGGTGACTCGCGCCACTTGGAGCTCGACTGTGTGTTCTAAAAGAAAGCAATGTAGCAATCCATGAACTAATAAATACAAACATTTTAACTTTAAATTGTACAACTCGTGAATGGCAGTCACTTGTGTCCTGATTAATTAGTGCGGCACACGGTTAAATAATGTACGAACCTGGTGGAGTTTGGCGTGTCTCTGGTGATGACGAGAGTAAGTGTCGCGCCACTGGCTTTCAGCACGTCAACCGCGAAATAATGGTCCACATCCACGACAGATTGACCATTCACTGAGAGCACCTTATCACCGACCTACAAATAATTTAAAAACAATATTCACTATGATCGTTAAATAAAAAAGTTTAATGTTGTAGCTGTCCAGCTTAAGTAGAGTAACGCTGAGGGCAGCGACAGGGTCAGCCGTGCTCAATCGATTGACCGCTCCATTCTATTGCCCAGGAGATTCAATTTCTTTGAGCGCTACGGTTTTGCTCTAGTTACATGGGTACTACCAATTGTCATTTAAAGAAAATAACTGAAAGAAATTTTCATTAATGGACTTACTCTGAGACCAGCTAGGTAGGCAGGGCCGTTGGGAGTGACTCGAGATATGAAAATGCCTTCGTCATCGCCGATGTAAGGCGTGGAGCCTCTGCCACCGGCTATGCTGAGGCCGAGCCCGCCAGCAGCACGAGCGATGCGCACTTCTATGCACCGCTGGTCGTTTACTACACGGGCTTCGCTTTCTGTGCGTTCCGACACTGATTCACCTAGAACAAGGAGTGATTTCACATGTAATAACATTGATTTGTTTTAATAACACCCGTAGCTTATGAGAAACACAGGCAGCGTACATACTCGATTCTAAGAAAACTACACCACGACAATTTACGCAACGTATGGTTATAAAAAAACCAGTGAGTTGTTATAACGGTGTTTACCATCATTTTGATCATTATTAAATAAAACCATACCAATTACTTCAATTAAATCGGCCCATAAACTTTCGCATTCCTTAATAAGTACTTCTGACTCACAAAAACATGCATTCTTATATTATAGATTACGATCATATTCTCACGACGTGCACGTCTAATTTCTCTTTGCAACTATTGTAAGAGCTGTAATACAAAATTGTTAAATTATGTAATGACTGCAGATATGCCATCTACATTGAACAGTTAATTGATGGTCGACGTTCAAGGAGTGTAGTGGTAAATGGTAAACGCTTACTTATAAACTTAATCATAATAGGTTATAGCGAACCTTCGATTAAGGTTTATGACAGGGAAGTAGAATTCAATCTATCCGTGCAAAATAGGTCGTATCAACAATGTCCACGATTAAAAACCAAATGTATCAATAACAAAAATTAGTGAACAACAGATAAACACGAACTTGGTATCAATTGTGAGTGCTGTATTGTATGGAAGGTAAGGTTATTATAATAGCTTCTTATGTACAAAGTATTACGCAAAGACGTATATCGAGCGTGCTAATCAAGTGTAAGGTCGTTAGGTACTTACAATGTGAATTCCTTTAATGTAAGACGAAATACTCGCCTTATTGGAATAATAAAGTTCAATAATATGTAAGAACTAGGCTAATTGTTAGCTACATTAGCGTTAATGAAACGAGAGGTTGGAACATCACGATTCGCATCAGAGAAACGAATAAGATCAAGCCGTAGCCTCTTCAACGTTAATTGGAGTGGGCGTCACAATGAAAGAGGATAATAACTGTAGTGATAATAGAATTAGAACAATGCACTGAGGATGTAATTCAATGCACACGGCTTTATGCAAGGTCAACGTTGTGACACTGTGTGAGCACTAACTTAAATACCATATCACAATGTTAGTTAATTTGATCACATTGCACTGAAAAAAAAAAATGTACAACAAAAAAACACAACTTTATCTGGTTTTCACTTTAATGTTTTTAATTATAATTGTAGATATGTTGTAAAACTATTATCAAGAGCGCCAAAGGATGTGTGAGAAATTATTTAATTAAGTAACATGGCAACATTAACTTAATTAAAGATAAATACGTAATACAGGTTCCTAAGCAGGATTTATTCCAGCGAAAGCGCCAAGTTGCACTTTGTGGTAGGTAAAAACTTCCAGTGATTCCGCCAGCAAAGGTGAATAGACCGCCTTCCTATCTTAGCCTCGTACAGGAAAGCACTAAATTCCGTCCTGAGCCACTCGACAAATGTGTTTAATGGATAAACTTTCCCTTCTTTACGTCATTGGTCAAATGAGCCATCGATGTAACGCCTATTAAAAATGTAATTGCCGTTTTTGTATTAGCACATTAAATCGTCCTAAGTTTCTTAACATAAACTATGGAATTATAGTCCAACAATAGAATATCCGCTCGTATTGTCCTCAGACGAATCAAATACGACGAGTGTATTGAATCATAATCCCGAGTAGCCTGTCTGCATCCTGAGTTACGGACTAGAATAACCAATGAAAATACATGATACTTTCACCCCCGGACAGATTTAATATAATAACAGACCACCTATGATAATCCTAGAGTCAGTCGTGATAGTTTACAAAAGGATTCGTGACTCTCGGTTTACAGTAGTCTTATTTTAATGGAAAATGCTCGTTTCAAGGAATGATGGTAATTTACGTCCAATCGAAACGTAATGGACAGGTGAAAGTCAGCTGTTAGGTCTTAATGGAACGCCTCGGCATCGGACTGTTTATCTTGTATTTGGAAAGGATTATGCATATAACAAAGATAAATTGTAACGGTCTTATCGCCGTTCGAGCGCTACACGGTACTGATACACGGCATGTAGTAGTTTAATGGGAGGGAAAATGAAGAAGCGGTGTAAGAAAATTGCAGTTATAATGAGTAAAAGCCAAGCGGGCTGCTGATGTTAAATTAAGAGGCAATTTGAGTTAACGACAGACAGTAGCGGGAGTAATGGGTATAAATGTTTACAATACGGGGAGAACATGTCGAGGTAAAGAGGCCTCGAGTCTGTAACGTTGAAGCTACATATATAAATACATGACTTCATACATAATCCACCGCAACCTTAACGCAAATCTCAAAACAACGCAAACATAACTCACGTTTATTTTAATATAAAATATGTAAAGTTATCGATTTGTAAACATCTTATGACTTCCCATACATCAAACATAATATGACCTTGTTTTGAACTTGCGGAAAGTGGCAATATAAGGATGTAAGGCTGTAACTTGTAAATAAAACTCCAAATCAACTTGTGACGAAGTTTAAGCAAGTATACAATCAAGTTCTTAGGTTTTCGCGATTGTAACAATGTAACACAAATCCCATTGATCAGCCGGTAAGGAGCCCGAAACGTGTTGGTTTGTTGATAAAACAAATATACGCAGTTTGGATCTGAAAAAATTGTTTCATTTCGTAAGCATAAAATCATTGATTAAAAAGCAAAATCTCATACATTCCACAAAACGAGTAAAGTATGCAATACAATACAAAATTTATTTATTTCTGCCAATAGTTTACAAATACTACATTGGCATTTTGACAAGACATTAAAACACGAGCGAACTCATAAATAATTTTGTGTGAAGTAAAATATTTAAGAACATCCATGTACGACCTTCAAGCACGCTTCGGAATGAATTGACCAAAACGTTTCGGAGATGACATAATTGTTAAAGGCAACACAAACACGAGGATGTACTAATACGCTAGTATAACGAGGTCAAAATAACAACATCAAGCTACCTTTATGTACCTTTGTGTACACCTTGATGAAATACGTAATAGTGTATAGGACACGCCCAAAATAAGTAAGCGATGACCACATTCTCGAACTAATACGAAATGACTACTAAAGTAGCAAAGAAAACATTACATGTATACTACTATAGACCGTTTGAACAGAAGCTGACAGCTATAATTGGGAGGTCTGGCATTATGTCTCTGGCTTGAAATGAGTACGACATGGCTGCATGCATTGTATAATTTGTTCTACTTTAGACCCGACAAGAATAGAGGAAGTTAAACTCTAAAAACGTCAAAATAATCAATCGAGTATAGTATTTGAGTCTATGTAAATCTCCAGATATTTTGTCAAAGAGCAAACATTTTAGCTGTATGCCTTATTATTATTCAATAAGTGAAACAGAATTAAATTCAATTTACAATATATTGACCTCAATTGACGCCTATCTGGGGGCATGATGAAAGTTTTACTGCCTTTTGTGTAGTAATGTAATTTGTGTCTCAGATCAAACTTAAAAAGATTTAGGTTTCTAGATGGCTAGAATATATTATCGTAAATTTTATATCTTAAACGTAAACATACTGCTGAAAATAAGCTTTGGACTTAGATGGATTAATACCTGAATACAGCCATAATAAGTCGTAATAATGAAGTATGTGGGTAATTTTCAGATTAGTTTTCTTTACCAAATTTCTAGACTATTATCATAAAGTATTACTAGCCTTTTTCAACCACACACACTCATAGCACCGCACTAGGGAGACCCTGTATCGCGGGTGCCATGAACTCGTATAGACAACCACAAATTGCACCTAAACTCACTCAATATTTGTATGGCCTACATTTATTTCTTTCGTGAAAGAAACGAAAGAAATAAATGTAGGCCATACAAATATTTCTCCCGGCCCGGCCGGAGTCCTCTGGGCGGCAGATCAGCATGCAGCAACCGTTCGACCACAGAGGCGGTTAATAACTTAATATTCGAGTGTAGTATCCTGAAATATTATTTAATATTTACGATAATATACGCAAATAATGAAATAATAAATTTTGCTACCAAAATAACGTAGAGAAAACTAACCTGAAAATTTCATATACAAAATTTACAAGGTCCATTTTAGGAGATTACGTTAACATCATTGCTGAGGGAGCAGACAATTAATCACATCATTGTGACCGGACAATCGCTATGCTGCCCATCACAATATCTTCGAATGGTTGCACTGATATTACGACAATATTTCAAAAGAAAAGTTTAATAATGTACTTTTAGTTGCCCCTTTGTTTAATTTTTTTATTTCTTTTTTATAACATGTATATATATATATAACTATATATATATATATACATATATATCCTTTTCCCATCGACATACGTAGACGACAACAGTCTTCTACGTATGGCTATATAATATACAACAATATATGAGTACAATATAAAGTTATGTTAACGTCAATACGATATGTTGCAACTCTTTTGACATTTATCTAAAACTCAAAAATTAACAAAATATTTATTGCTCATATTTAATAAACATTTCGTAAAAAACTTACGTTTTTTCCTACGTATTACACCCATTTCCTCGTTTGGAACTCGATCGGGCTATTTCCTGAAACGGGTGGCTATATCCGGAGACTGAATTACCGACTGTAAAAACCCGTTCTTATCTGGTTAGTATCAATCGGCTTGATGCACCGGCCGGCTGGTCGATATACTTAACACATTCCAAAAGGGTCATTGTCCATAATCAAAAATAGATCAATAGTGATTTTTAAATCACCCTTTTTCAAGGTACTGTACTGAGTAATGTTCCTTTAATCTACACTGTCCGCCAAACAGCGTGCACGTTTCGGGCTGGTCCAATCAAAACAAACAGTCGAGAACACTGAACTGGCTAAACTGCGTGCGTGCGCGCAGCCCGAGGCGACTGAGCTGATGGAATGCGCGCGAACCAACCACATTAGAGATGAGGAGGCTGTGGCGCCGGCGCCCGCGCAGCCCGCGACCTCTCCTCTCTCGATAAAA